ATCAAATTTCTAACAGAATAAAACAAAGACCATTTTAGATGTAATAAAAATTTATATACAGTATATATTTACAATTTTAAAAAGATTGAGAATAATTGTACAGAAGTTCATTAACATTGATGGGCAATAAAAGTATTTTTTAATGACAATGTAAATATTTGCATAAAGCTTTTAAATAATATTTGTAAGATTCTTCAAATTTAATTAAAAAAATGGTGTTTGCAAAAATACTGACAAAAGTGTATAAAAAGAAAATGAATAGATTGAAATGTGAGATTTATTTTCCCTGTATTTGCCATGACACCTCATATCTCTTGAGATTGAGCACTTAGTATCCTAGTTATAAGTAGCTGGTAACAGGCTATTTCATGCTGAGATTGTTACGTATTTCCCAACAGTAGAAATAGATTGTTACGTATTTCCCAACTTGGAAGACTAGTGCAATACAATCTTCTCATTCCTAATTGGCCTTGTGCCAAACAATTCCAAGCTTAAGAGGAAGTATTTATAAGTAGTGATATTAATGTTTAATTATCAGTAGACATTTCAAAAATGTTAAACTCAAGTAATTAAAAAAAATTGAAGAAAAATGTAGTAGGGTTGTTGTAAATGGAAGAGCATAGTAATCTTTAGCAAAAAGATTGAAACTAAATAACTAAAACCATATTTATTTTTCAAGACAGGTTTTAAGCAAACTACCATTCTGGCAAATCAAATCTCAACTTAAAAAATAATTTGAATATATTTTCTGATCAATCATCTTTTGCTGTTCCATTCCAAACTTACAAACTGATGCAAAGTTAGCTCATCCACTCTAGAACAATTCACATGTGAGTATATCACAGAAATCAACACCTATGTATCAGTATTCAATGATCTGCTATAAAATCTCAACACTATTAAGGCTGCTATAACATCAGTAAGCAACCACAACTCAAACTTTACTCAACATATAGCATATCACTAATCTCAGAACTAGTTAAAAAACATATCAAATCAATATTCAAAATCTCTTAAACTAATTATTTTTGCAGCAACAGTTTCAACAGTGAAATCACAAAGGATGAATGAATTAAAAATGTTTGTAGTAAAGAAGACAGTAGTAAAGGAGTACATTTTGGAGGACTTGGGTTCTTATGATAACCAATGAATGTCATTAAAAAGAGACTTGTTGACTATAGCTAGACCATTAACAGATTCACTCACCTTGATGCTTACCCACTTCTTGGTTTAAACATTACAGTTCATTTACCACCAAAAACCCATCTAAAGTGAGGACAAACCATACACTGCCTTTGAAGCTAACGACAAGCTTCATTAGTTCTGCAGAATCCAATTTTGGGGTCACAGATGGTGTAGCCTGTTTTCAAAGGACTATAGATAATATAATAAGACATCACCATCTGTTTGGAACCTACACCTATGTAGATCATACCTTTACTGGAAGGACTCAGCAAGAACACAATCAAAATTTGGAGAGGTTCCATGAGACTTCCCAGCAAATTTCACCTCTAATGAAAAGTCAATTGTATCAACTGAACTGATTGACTTTCTTGGCTATACCATAATCTATGGTTCACTAAGACCTGATGCAGAGTTTGAGAATCTTTAAAGGATTACAAGGACAAAATCTTTTTACACTATGTTGTTGGCCTTTTTTCTATTATTCCCAGTAGGTTTTGAAGTTTTCCAATAAGATTAGACCAGTGGTTGCTGCCAAAACATTTCCTCTCAATCAAGAGGCAGTGAAAGCATTCAGTGACCTTAGAGAAAATTAGTAAATCATTCCATTGGTGAGACAATACTACTTATAGTAGAAAGTGATATATCTGACATTGCAGCTACTTCGAACCAGGGTTGTCTTTATTTTTTCCATATTCTCACCCCCATGGAACGCAAGCATACATTTGTTGAAATCTAGGTCTGCATCATCATAGAGGTTGTGAAAAAGTGATCTCACTATTTGTCAGGATGAAAGTTCAAAATAGTCACAGATCAGCAGACTGTAAACTTTGTTCTACTCAAAAAAAAAAAAAAAATTAAAATAATTAAATTCAACAATAGAGGATAGAATTGGGATGCTACAAGTATGATATAATGTACCAACCTAACAAAGATAATATCATAGCAGACACAATCTCAAGAACCCATTGTGGGGTTGCCATCAACAAAGAAAAATTATCGGACTTCCACTTTTGTCTTTGTCATCCTGGAATAACAAGACTGGCTCACTTTAGGATAAGAAACTTTTCTTACTCTATTGAGTGCCCTGTATGTGCTTGGCTAAAACCATGATTTTACATTCCAAGAACATCCCATCTTATCAAGGCTACACAACCCATGGAACGAATCAATATGAATTTCAAAAGGTCCTTCTGTCCCTGGGAATTGTTACTTACAATAGATGAATATTTCTGTTTTCTATTTGCATTCCCATGTCCAAACTTGACAATGGAAACCATTATCTGATGTCTCAATCTGTGTTCAGAAAGTTTGCATACATTCATTCTGATTGGGACTTTCATTTCTGTGAAAGGAGCTGCGAGAGTACCTGACAAAATTAGGAATTGAGGCTAGCAGAATGCTGTCTTATAATCTACAAGTGAATGGTCAATGTGAGCATTGCACTAACCCTGGCATCCAAGAAACTTAGACAATCTTAATGGGATTACCCAAAATATTACTAGTAGATCTCTCCTCTGCACCACCACTAATGCCACGCCTTACAAAGACTCTTTTCATACCAGCACCATTCCCCCAGTGGACACTCTTTACCTGGCTGGCTCTCTGTACCAGGACCTGTCTTAGTACATCACCATGTCCATGCCAGTAAATATAATCCACAACACACCTACATACAATATGTGAATGTATGTGAATCAAGTCTCAATATGTGACTTAGCCCTAACAGGTGATACATAAGGCAGGAAGCTATCTAACATGCATATAGGGACTAGTCCAAATGGAATTTATTGTTCCACTGACTTGGAAGACATGAATGCTCCTGAACAGCAATAGAATGTGTTGAGGGTTAGTAGTTCTCCTAAGGAATCTAATAATCACTCTGAATTCCAATAACCAACTGAACCTGCCACTTCTGCTTCCCTTACCTTGGAGCCACGAACACGATCTGTAAGAGAATGCCATAAGCTCATTCGTTATTGAGAAATTGAAGTCTTTAAGTGGAGAATGTGGTATTCTGAACACTTGCCCAGCTCCTCTGTAATGTTTACTTCTACTAATCTCCCTTTTAATTTCTACTGATAAACTTAATTTGCTTGTCACTCTTGTAAAATGTAGGTATCTTGTTAGTTCATTAAAGCCTTCTAAAGGTTTCACATTTTCCTGTCATCACTTCAACCTGAATAATTTTATTTCAATGCTTATTTCTCAGAAAATGCTAAAACAGAAGTAACTTTTACTGCCCATTAATTGTATAAATGAATGAAAATAAAAATAGAATCAAATGAAATAAAGGGTTCAGTGAAAGTAAACTAAATTAAATGGTGGTCAATGAAGGTGTGTCTAATTCAGATTTTTTAAAATTAGTAATTATTTTTTCTGTTTTAAATAAAATGAGAAAGAGGAAGGAAATAGTAGAATAGGTATGTTAATTTATATATTAATGAGGCTGTTGGGCATTATACTTGATTTGTAATAATAGTTTTAAGTATATTGCACGATGACAATCTTACTATACTTTTATTAATATTGAATTTAGAATAAAATAAGGCTTTGGGTAATATATTGAAAAGACTGAAATAGTTATAGTATATAATAAAAATCTGTGTTACTAAATATTTGGTAAAAATAATTTTCTTAGATTAACTGAATATAATTTTTCTTGAAGCTTTTTCAGTGTTAACCTGCATATCTTTATAAAATAACCTGAAAATAATAAAGATTTGATTTGAAACATTTTCAATGTTTTCTTAATTTTCATTATTTAAATATAAATGATGACAGGAAAAACATATGGCACATCTATACTTCAAATCTTGTACAAGTAATGAAACTAGGGGAAATGGTTTGAAAATGGCTGCTCTATTTTGTTTAAGCCTGTTAATTACCAGGTATCAATTTGAATGAGTTATACTGTGTAATTCTATCTACTATCATGCTGTATCCTTTATTCTATCTGGTTTTATTTGCTTGCTTACTATAAGAAACATTAAAAGTCACTTCTTTTAATAATGATTTTAGAATAATATTAACCAAATCAGCCTTAACTCTTATTTGTTAACCAAATATTCATTGTTTTTTTTTCATTTTTTTTATTGATTACTTTGTTTTTCAGAGAATAGTTGATTTACGTAAAATTAAGTGCATATGTTTAATTTTTCTCCTTGATAATTGTGACACTAAATTAAATTATATTTGGCACATCCCGATAACTACTAATTTTCAAAATCTCATTTTTTTTAGATGCAAGACCAAATTTAATGAAACTCTGCTAACATCATTATAACCCTAAATTGCCATTCATATGTTCTGAAAATAAGTTATTAACCAATCAACTGAAAAGAATAAAGAAGAACAATCTACAAATCCCAATCAAGTAGAATGTCTTTAGAATTAACATTCTAAAAAAACTGAACCAGCAAAATTTATTTGAATTTTAGGACATTATATTTCTCTGTAAATAAATACTTAGTTACAATTTATATACTTAAACTCACTTTGTTTTTTAAATGACATGGTTTTACATTTAAACAGAATTATCTTAATTTATAAAGTAACTGATAGCCTAGAAAATATGGTTTAACCATAATTGTATCATTTTATTTACTTAAATACACATTTAATATAGGGGAAATAAAAATGTGCAATATGTAAAAATTTAAACACATTTACCTCAATAAATGTAAAGACGAGACTCAAATTTTAAAATTAAAAATAAATGCTCTTTATCAAGTTGTTCAGCCAGTCATAAATCAACAAATATATTTGCTTTTCTGAATCACTGATGTTAAGAGTAAAATAACTTTGCAATGAAAATATTATTCTTTTCCAATGAAAGCTGCCATTGGATCATCAGCACGCATTCTCTTCATGTAGAAGGCTTCCATTTCTGCATCTGTTGGAGCCTTTGTTTCATACATGCTGTTATAAGGTCGTTTCCTTTCATCCATCTTCAGTATTTCATCTGCCCACCTTTGATGATTTTCTTCAGCTTTCAAAGCCTACAGTAGAAACAATTGAAAATTCAAATGAGATAAACCCAGAAAAATACATGGTTTAAAACTATACATTTTATTTAATTATTTAAACAGATGAAAAAATTCTTTTAATCAAAATGTCCTAATTCAAATGCAGAATAATATCAAGAGCTGAAGGATTTTTTTTTTAAATTTTCAATGTACATTGATTAGATCTGCAAGTTGTGATAAAGAACAATAGAAATTAAAATGAAAGAAATACTAGCTAGTTGAAAAATTACAGAAAAACAATAATATGAAACAAGAATAATAATATAAAGAAATTTGCGTTTTTAAAAAAATGTTACTTCTTATCACTCTAGTATTCATGGATATCTTTTCAAAAATGTGGTTATGGTTTTCTGACACATTAACATTTCTGTAAGTCTTGTGAAACTAATGTTTACTAAATTTAACTTAGTAGACCTTGCTAACATAATTATTCGGTTTGCATTAAAAAAAGAAAAACAGAAATCATACCCTAAATAATATTCTTATTACCACAGTGGTGTAGCTAGTGTTTTTGCCGCCCATCCTCAGAATAAATACAATATTACAAAACAATTTAACCCCTTAAATTATATATTTGTATTTTCATCAGCAAATCTTCACCTCAATGTGCTTAACAAGACAAATATTTTATTTGTGGTCCAATCATTAAAAGAATTACATGTATGGAAAGAGAATAAAAGAAGCATTCTAATTATGTTAATATTTTGTGCCTTCAGACATTGAATATTTTTATATACTAATTTTTTATGATAGCTTCTGCCATATTTTCACACATACTACATGTGGGATAAGTTCGTGTTTCTGTTATGTGGTATTTTATCACTCCTCACTGATAAATTATGAAATAAAAGTACAACTGTGTTTATTTATTTATTTTTTTAAAAAATAAAACTGGGATATGTAAAAAAATCAAGATTTTTCATTTTATGATATTAAAAGAAAGATAACTTGTTTTTGTTTATACAGTGACCTAATAGTTTTTAGCCATATTTATATCCAATTTTTAATTACAATGTTATTCAACATAAACAGTATTTGGAACTAGTTAGAGTAGGTCCTCCATTTGCTAGTTTTGTGCTTGTATTCAATTTTTTCATGGATTTTCAAGTTATCAACAATCGTCTGAGTATTTTCCCAAACAATGTTTCTTTACATTTTGATTTCAATGTTGTCACTGACGTGATTTTGGTTGCACGTTCTCAAATTTTTCGGCAAGTGAAACATGCTGATTCCTTGTGTCAATTTTGGGCTACCCATGGCCAGGCCTTTGCATTCCAGGCCTTTCCCATACTTTACGTATGACATAGTGCTCCATCTTCTTGAAAAAAAGGTAGACATTCTTGTCAATCTGATTGGTTTCAAATATTTGAGTAGTCCTTTCTCTAATATTTGACAGTATTTTGGACCATTCAACTACTCGTCAACAAGAATCAGCCCAGATTTCCCTCCAAACCAGACAGCACCCCACATCATTATTCCAATCCTTCCATGTTTCATGGTTGCCTACAGACATTCAGTGTTCCAAGTCTCATTCTGATTTCTCCAAACATAAACCAATCTCGAATTAGAATATTGGCAGAATTTACTTTCATCTGACCAAATTACAGACTGCCAAAATTCATAATCTTTGCTCTCAATTTCTCTCACCCAGTCCATATTAAGGTTCTGGTTAACCTCTGAAATCAAGGGCTTCTTTCTTGCAACTTTTCTTTGATAGCCTAGCTCTTTCAGAGTCTTTCTCACTGTATAGGTTGACATTTCCATGCTGTTAGCGACATCTTTGATGCTCTGATGATGGTTTCTAATGACTTCCTTATTCAGTGCCCTTTTCGTTCACTCAGACATGATGCTTAGTCTTCCTAAATGTTGTTCCACATGACAATGGCCTTCTTCATTAAATTTCTTGACAATATTATTAACCGTTTGATGATTAACCTAGAAAAACCTAGCAATTTCTCTATTTGACTTGCCACACTATTTGCCCTTGTTGAAATTCACTAATTTCCTTACTTCCATGAACTTTCATTGAACAATAGCTGACTTGTATCTTGCATAGATGAAAGTAGCTTGATGCTAACATGGTATTGTCTAAAAAGAGATGTTATTACACAAGCCAAAATTGCTATAATCAAAAGGTGGCTAAAAACTTATCATAACCCACTGTATACCCTGTTTTATTATTTAAACAAAAAACACACTGTACTTTTAATTCATAATTTATCAGTTTTTAAAAAATTTATTTATTTCAATTCTAACAAGCAAGGAGTCATAAATTAAATGCCACATTAACAGAAACACGTTTGTTTTTCTTTTAACACTGTAAAAAAATGCAATATCTTTCTAAATTATTTTGTTTTACATAGTTGAAGTTATTATTAGCAAAATAATAGACTAAGAATTAAAAGTCTGATAAAATTAATTTCACTTTTAAAAACTGAAATAAATGTTATATTTTTAATTCTTAGTCTTAATAAAACATTACATTGTTTTACTACCATGAAAATTTGTAAATTGAAAATATTGGACTTTAAAATAAAGTTTCTGCACTTAAAAAATATATTAATTTTCAATTTTCTTTCTAATTTCCATTCAATATTTCCGGAAAAAATTGCATGCATGTGATATCCTTAAAGCATTGGAATTATTTCAGTTTATTGATCTATTTTATAATTTATGAAAAGTAATGAATTTATATCCATATTAAAGCTAGACCTATAAGATAAAAAAAAAAAAAAACAATTGGTTCACTTATTTAATTTTTTTTCAGAATGAGTTCCCAGACATGAGAAATCAAAATCAAACAACTGACACCAAAGTTTTCACACCTAAGTTCACTTAATCCAACTCCACATCAAGCCCTTTAAAAATGTTAATTTTTTTTTCACACCTTTTGCTCATGTCTTGTAAGTGGAGTTTATCCCCACCAGCTGACAGCACGTTTTGGAGACAATTTTTTTTATTGCTTGCTGGCTGGCTTTGAGCCAGCCATATCAAAGAGAAATTGGCTTCACTTGAACCCTATCTTCTTCCTTATCACTGCTTTTTTTGCAAAAATTATTGTAATCATGCTATTGTTTTTTTTCTTTTCTGAAAACTCACTGCAAACTAAAAGTGCCACTAGGGGTGGAAGCTACATTGTATTACCAAAGTAAGTCTTAGAAAAGCTCATTTGATTTTTCTATTCTAGCAAGTTTTTTTTTTTTAGATTTGAGAGTAAAATTAAAAATAAAAGTAATAGAATTATTTTCAGCTGAGAATCTTCAAAAGCTAGCACTGAAGGCCATTTAATTCCTTAAAAATATCAACTTTGTTATTTGATTCAATGTTATTACTCAGTTTTCACTAAATGAGGAAATCCAATATGATTCTTTCTTATAGCAATTATAACTTTTTATTTTAAAAAACTCAAGTAAACTGAAAAGAAATAATATTTTATAAATCATAGTTTCAAATTTTTTATCATTTAGTTGCTGCTTAAGTTATGAAGACTTCAAGTTCAAGACAAGATAATGAGATTCAGACATTATAAATAAGGAGAATTCAATTCTACAGAATATTTTATATATATAAGCAAATCAATGTAATATTTATTTTTATTTGGTAGAAGTGCAATGGTTTCAATTTGTAAGTAAAAGACAACAATGAATAATATAATGATAAATAATGTTCTTAAACACATGAGTAAAAATGATTTCACTACATTGAATTATTTTTGCATATTAATATGCAGCAATTATATAATCAGTAATAAGTTTTAAACATATAAGGTCACCCTAGTAATCCATTTTGCTCAAAATAGAACAGTTTTTACTGTCTAAACAACAATAGGCATGATTTAAGTTAGTGGAAATGTGAGCAACATTTTCAGTTGATAAATTTTAAATTTTAGTCCTATTGTTTGCCATATGATTATTGTATATGTGCTGCAAAGTTCATGGTCATAGCTGTTTGAGGTTTCCTATAGTCCCACTGAACTTAAATAAAGTCAATTCAGGTTTGCTATGGTAAAAATTTTCTATCCCAAATAAAAATCATCACAAAAATGGCAAAAGTCATTTTGTCACAGCTTATTTTCTCTGAAAAAATGGATTTTCATAGTTTTATAGGAGTAAAATATTGAAAAATGACTATTTTATCATCATCTAAACAAATATCAAGGAAACTTTTGATCCGAACCCCATGAAACTAGGTATTTCCTGAAAGCAAAGGATATATTCTTTCATTTAAAAGTAAAATTGGCTGGTGTAAGCGACTCAAAATTTTTTTTCTTCAGTGGGGTAAAAATGTGAAAAAATAGTGAAAATTTTGCATTTTTTCTAGTTCTAAACAGAAATTTTCCCCATTAATGGGAAATTAACCATTTTTTTTTTTTTAATCAGAAAGCCTAAATCATAATCAAACTATTTCAGACATAAAATTGAGAGTTTTGAAGGTAATCAACATTCCTAGGGGGTCAAAATGCAAGAAAGTCCATTGGTAATTTTCAATTATATGACTGCCAGGGGTTAAAAAAATTGACACCTAGCCACGGAAATCTTTAGTAAAAGGCAATTTATCTGCAATTCCTGACCACCAGAAACCATGGGATTTTTCGCCGAATATTTTGTTTACACACCATGTTGGATTTTCCTATATGACAAAAACAAGAGTTTTAAACTGCTGTGTGGCTCAACCAGAAGTCCTTTAAAAAAAAAAAATCTGATGTTTGGTTATTTGCTCAGACAGATTTTAGGAAATGAATTGGATTGAGGACTTTTCAGCATCTCTTTGTACATGTAAGAATAATCTAGTTGGGCCATCTTGTTTTCATTATAATTTGTTATTTGATCAGAAATCATTATTTAAAAAAAATCATTATTATAAAGAGAATGTAGGTTATTCCTGCTCTGAGAGTATTACTAGAAAACTATGCATAGTTGAACTGAAGTTTTTATTGTAGTGTGTTTATTCATTTAATAAAACATTCTTAATTATTATTTTAAGAATTGTATTAAGCTAAATTTGGAAGTATGACACAAAAACAAAAAAAGGGATCATAAACAGAAATTACCTTTTTTAATTTTTTCTTTTTTTTCTCCTCTTCATCTGAAGATGAACTGCTATCATCATCACTACTGCTGCTACTTTCATTACTACTACTACTACTGCTGCTGCTACTACTACTACTGTCATGTTTCTTTTTGGAATTTTTCTTTAGTTTTTTGAGTGCCTTTTTTTTGTAATTCTCTTCATGTAGCTGAAAAAAGCAAAAATAAATAATCCAGCATTACAAGCAGAAGGATATATAGTTATCTAAAAGAGTTAAAATTGTTGCAAGTATCCAGGGCTGGTGCAAAGGTCTTGCTCCCCTGCACCATCTGATATGGGATCCTGACTATATTTACATCTCAATTGTCATAAGATAGTATTCATATAAAATACAAATTTTATTGTACCCTAATTATGTACAATAATGGATCATATGCAGTATAGGTGAACAATTCAACCTGAAAAATTGAAAATAAATACAAAGTATTTAAATAGAAATTAGAGACATATCACAATAGATCATCCCATCTTAAATAAATCAACAATTTCATGGCAATTTTTAACATCAGCTTGAGATTTTTCTTATTAAAAAGTTGAATTTTAACACATTTAACATTATGGATAAAAAAAAAAAAGAAAAAAAAAAAAAAAATTCTGGGGTCTTTTTATTTTTTGTCCAAATCCATGAAAAATTAGTTTAATTTGTCACATATATAAATGTAGGTGGAAAAATGCAAATGTTGATAAGATAGCGAGAGTCACAAAGCACTGCCTCAACCCCCAATTGCAGGCGGTGGGGTGGGGGGGTTCAGTTCCAGAGCTAGTCCTGCAAGTATCACATGAATGCTGAATCATACAAAGTAATTGGTCTGTATTAGAAACTAGTAAATCATTTTTTGCCTTGAAATGCATAATATAACAATACTTCATTTTTGGAACTATTTTTGTTTTGTCATTCTTCTCAACACCTATTCAAGTAGATGAATTTTCATTTAGTTGAGAAATAGTTTATGTTTTTATTTATTTTTAGAGAAAAAAAAACCCAGATCAACCAATCTTTCATATGTTGAAGAAGATCAAATATTATAGAATCATAATATTTGTGCATAAGAGCATAAGTATGTTATTAATTCCAATGCTTTTAAGTATATGCCAAGTTATCTGCTGTAGGAACTTTAATTCATAATCAAACCATAGTCTGATATTCTGTGTACAAAGTTATATTAATCCATCTGAAATACATTGAAGAATCATCATGATAAATTTGTAATGAAGAAATAAATACAATCTTTCAGTTTTTCACTAAACATGATTTAAGAAGCTTTGTTGTATGTAGTAGAAATAAAATTATTATTAAATAGTCATTTATTTTAATGTAATTTACTCAAATCATCATAATAAAAAATTAGAATATATTTAAATTTAAAAAAAAAAAAAAAAAAAAAATAATTAAATATTTAACTCACCTGTAGAAGAGATTTTGGTGGCTCATGTTCTTTAGTTAAAACACTTGTATCATTTGTTATAGTCAAAATATCAGACTAAAAGAAACAAAAATAATTCTAATTTATAGTAATTTAAAATACATATAAATGCAACAATATATGTTAAACAATTACAAGGGGGTGGTGAGAAGTTCCCAGCCTAACATATTTCCAAACATATAACCAAATACCAGATTCTTTTTTTAATCATCTTTTGGTTAAGCCAATAACTTTTCAGTATACTTGTATACAGAGTTAAAATATAGCAAAAAATAAAAATGCTTGAATTATTATACATGTTTTTATATAAATAGAGTGAAATATCAATTTCTGTTTTATTTCTGAAGGTAAGTAAAAGATAATCTTGTTTTACATTCATACCTAATGGTTGTGTAGAAATTATATTCAATAAAAATATTTGCAACCTGCTAAATGTCTAAATGAATTTATATTTAGAAGGACTATTTTGTTTTCAGTTTGAGATGCTTACATAGCCCTAATAAAGTTATTTTGATAGATATGTGTTTGACTAAGCAAACTACAATGCAACATTTATGGAGTACTCCATGTGGATCAAACTCACTATGACTCTACAATTAAAGTCCTTTGGACAATTTAAATCAATGAATAATTTATCAAATTAATTTATGGTAACTTTTACTGCACAAATAGTACAAACCTATAGTTAAGGAATTATGTTAAATGAAGCAAAGATATGTGATCTATATATTCTTTAGTAAGAATTAAGTTTTGTCAATATACCTTATGCTTTTTTAATTTAAATCCAAGAAAAAACAGTAGCATGTGGAAAAAGGTTAAATTGTTTTATAGATTATGTGTTAGAAGCTAATCTAGAAAATAAGAGTTTATAATACTTACACAGTTGGCTGCTTTACCAGCCTCTCCTGTACAGTAGCTTTCCTTAATAAAGGAGTGACAGCATTTATAGCCCCATAGACCTTCTTTCCAATATGAACCCCAAATACTCTGAAACAAAATAAAATTACAGAAATGAGAAAGCTAAATTTCACATTCTTAACATTTTTCTAACAAAAGTTTAAAATTAAAAAAAAAAAAAAAAAAAAAAAAATCACTATTTTCTTTCTATATTTCAAATTCAATTAGAGATTTATTGTATGAATAGAAGGTCCTATAACATTAAAAACTTAGAAATTATTATTATTTTATTACATCTTATTTAAATATTTATTTACATATAGACTATTGTCTTCATCTTTGTTGTCATTATCACAATATTTAAGCCATTGTGCCCTCTGGTCTTGATCTGGCTAGCCTTCAGTGAATTCCAAACTGAACTCGTTATTTAGTCTACTAAATGATAAAGCAGATATCATCTTTTATATTTAAGAGTAATACAGTATGACAATGCTAAAACAAATTATTTTGTGTACACTAAACAGTATATTTTACTATGAAAAAATGTATTATTCTTAGTAATTTGATATTGGAAAGTAGAATAGATAATTATTAAAAGATACAGGAGTTTTTATTTTTTTTATTATTTTGGCAATCAGATTGAAAGGCACAGTAGTTTACATTTGTCTGTGGATTCATAAATCTTAATCTGAAAAAATAACTTTTCCATATCAATGTTAATAATTTGATATTGTTAAATAATAAAATGTATTAATTTCATGCTAATAGAAAACAAGTTACAATTTAAATTCAGCAAAATAAAGAAAGAGTAGAACAAAAAATCTATTTCATTAACATATAGGTTCATAACAATCTATTTCAACCTTTATTCTTAGTGTGCATCTACAGACCAGGTATTGTTGGAAAGATAAATCATATTTCACAACTCAAAATTTTTTTTGAAATTCACTAAAACCATGCATTTTCTGTACATTCATGACAAACAGCTAATAAAATGAACTATTTTCCATAAATTAATCCAAAATTTTTACATAAAATGCAACGGAAACTTGGTCAATAAGAGGATAGAATTTTTTACTAGTAATAATTTATTCCCTTCATTTCATGAAGTCTAGTAGTAATTTATCTTTTACCATGCACATATTTTTAGAACAATTCATAAAATCAAAGGCTGTAAATGTGTCTGATATTAATAACACAAACATTCCATAAACTGATTTGTGAGGAAAACTTTCATCTAGATAAATGAAATAAAAATCTATATATTGTAATGAGTCTGTAGCGAAAATTACTGAAGTCTTTGTCTTCTTCGTCTTCTTCTGCTCAGTCTTACACCGCAGTCAACACTGAAATGAACAATGTGTGACTTTCACACAACTGGACACCTTTTCTCCCTTACCCTTGCAAACTCTCAGCTCTTATGTCGGTGAGGCATACGCTTATGCAGTTTGGTTGCACACACGCACTGCCATTTTTGTGTCCGTTGCCATGACGTTTGCCTCAAACATTCACTCATTCATTTGTTACATATATTAAAAGTGAGTTTGTTTCATTTCAAATTACACTATGCTTTGTATTAGAAACTGAACTACTACTACAACCAAATATGAGAGTGAGCTGAAAAACTCATAGGCTGACTATGAAGGAGTGATTCTAGAACTGTGAAATCTTGTGTGGATTAATTTCAACTTTTCTTATCAATAACTACATCAAATACCTACAGAAAAAGTGTTTAGCTCCCAAGGACATTAATACTGACATGGTTGCTACTTTAGGGAATGACACTCCAGCTTTATCACCAATGCAAAAGCTGAATTTAGGACAGGAAGGGAGAATTTTGAACATCCTGCAACTGCAACCATTGAAGAAAACATTGATCATGTTCACCACATGATGGATGATAAATGATGGACCATAAATCAAATAGTCAATGCTATTGATATATCCTGTGTGAGAGTTGAGAATATTCTGCACAATGAACTTGGCATGACAAAGGTTTCTGCCCAGTGGGTGTCATGTCTTCTGACACCTGATCAAAAGTGCACCAGGCAGATCACATTGTGGGAAATTCTGACATTGCTTGAGGCAGATCCAGCTGGTTTTCTTGAACATTTCCTAATCCAAGAGGAGTGTTGAGTTCATCCCTTTAAGCAATAGACAAAGAGACAATCCACACAGTGGATCACCTGCTCCACAGAAGGCCAAGGTTGTTTCATCTGCAGGGAAGGTGACAGCCTCAGTTTTTGGGGATGCAAAAGGCATTGTGCTTATTCACTACCTTCAAAAGGGCCACACCATCAATGAGTATTATGCTGTCTTGCTGAGGCAGTTACAAAAGGCTATCAAGATCAAATGCCCAGGAAAACTGACAAAGTGGTCTTGTTTCATCAGGTGTGACAATACTATGCCGATAACTCTGAATTAATCCTCACTAAACCACAAGGAGGTTAAGTTGTGTCGTGAACTTTTTCTCTCTCTGTCTGTGGCAAGCTTCTAACAGTTGGTATGATTTGGCTAGAAGCAGTTGAGCAAAAGCCCATGGAATCCAAAAGGATTGATGCCTCTAAAAACTATGTCATGTGGTTATTAAAATAACTCTCCTCATACATGTCAAGTCACCTGACTCGATATTTAAGGTTGTGCATGAAAGAAATGCAGTAAGTTAGTTGGTTCAGCAAAACTCGAGGACATCAGACCTTCTCTGAGATCATCATGTGAGGGGAGTAACTGAAATGAAGAGAACGGATTCCATCCTCAACTCACACAAACTCCCAGTTAAGAGAACACTAAATAGTCTTACACAAAATTCAAGACAATAAAGAGCATTTCTAAATGGAAAAGAATCAACCCTATGCAAAAGAAGCTTAGAGAGAAATGACCACCACTCGGGGTTGAATACTGTCAGTGGAAAAGAATGAGAGAAAGAATAACTCAATGATAGAACATTTTTGCACATGTGAATGGGAAAGAAAAAGAACAAAAAGACAAAGATAAAATAAAAGTCATTATAGAAAGAAAAGACAAAACCATGAAAATATAAAAGTTACTCCCACGAGAAAATAAGATGTTAAATATTATATAAAAAAGAAAAAATGAAAAAGAAGGAGGAAGCTATAATAAAAGAGAGAAGAGAAAAAGAAAGGAAAAAATGTATTTGATTTCAATCAACTGAAAAAAAGCTAAGTGTTTTTTTTTGTACTCATATCGCACATACCACATGCATTTCTACATTCAGATATTCTTTCCAGCAAATTATTTTATGTGTAATTAAAATTTTGTTGCACTTTATATTTGTGTTTGTGGTTTGTTGATCTTCCTTATTCACATGTTTTTGACCCTGTGAGAGAAAATACACTATTGTAGTGGAATCCAGATCATATTGTTGGCAATTGATTTACTTTATTTTTTTTTTAATTATTTATGTTGTGGAATTTGCAGGTTGTAACACAGGACAATGCTCCAACATACAAGTCCTCAATTTCAATGGCTGCTGTGTGTAAGTGTGACATTGAACTGGTTGATCATCCTCCCTACTCTCCTGATTTGAACCCCATCTGATTATCATCTGTCCCCTAACATGAGAAATCACTTGGCTAGGAACTAGTATTGTAGTGATGAGGACATATCTGTTGTTAATGACTCTTGACCAACATACTGTTAAAAGCTTCTTCACCAATAAAATCCAAGCACTGCAACATTGATGGAAGAAGTGTGTGGATCATAAGGAAGACTATGTTAAAAAATAAACCTCATTTGGTCACGTTCCAGGATAGTATATTAGCCTATGAACTTTTCAGCCAACTCTCGTACTACAAGTGCTTCGAAGAGAGTGTGAGACAAGCCAATTAGATTGATACTTGTATTAATTTTTGAGTAGGCAATTTTAAGAAACAAAATTTTGGTCCTTATAGCTCAAATTATATTTTTAAAAATGAAGCTAATAAGAAATTGTGAGAAACAATTTCTTTAGATGAATTTACTTTTGGAATATTAAAATAAATCCATGAAAATGATCCTGATCCAACTTACAGTGTGATTGTTTGGATAAACATCTTCTTCATAACGTGATTTGATAGAAGCCTTTTCTTGACCTTTGATAATTGTTCCATGTCGAGAGTATTCAACATAATCCTCCTAAGAAAAAAAAATTAAACATAAAACAAGACAAAATTAGCTCAGTTCATTAAAAAAAAAAAAAAAAAAAAAAAAAATCACTCAAAGAAGACTAATCTCATTTAATAGTTTTCTGAAATTTTATAAGGATAAATTAATTTAAAAATTCCAATATCCATGATCATCTCATTCTATTGCATCAAAAATTTAATTAAAATTTATAGGCAATATTTTGGGAAATAAGAAGAAATTTGGAGCCTTGTAAACTTTGGCATAAATAAAAGTCATGTAAAGAGTTAGTCAACATATTTCTCTATTAATTATGTCAATTCAAATGCTACCAAGGAAAACAAAGGCTCTTGATTTAATGGAAATGGAATATAGAACAAAAAAAGATGATGACTTTGGTAGCATTTGAAGCCAAGATGCAGCAAAGTCCTAATGAATTTGCATAAATCCTAATATTTTAATCTATTTGAAAAAATTCAATCACATACAACATATGAAATTTTGAGTGTCAAAGCAAAAAATGTAGTGAAAATCAGATGATACTATATGACATGTGATTTACAAAAGACAAATTACCATAAAATTAGAAAAGAGAATGTCAAAAAGTGGAATTTTCAACTTGAATGGTTTTTCATAAAACCATAAAGAATTAGTAAAAGAAATTTGAATTGAAAGCAGCAGTTTTTGAAGATAATATTTTATAAAATTGTTGTAAACTAGAAAAGATTACGGAATGAGGAATAACCAAAACGGAGGTTGGAAATGAAATGGTAATCTTTATAATATCAAGAAAATACAATACTTGCCAGTGGTAAACCACTGCTAGTAGTGGACTACTTACACAGCATATTACCGCCACTCACAATAGTGTCCAATGTATTTATGAGGACTGGGACATACTTATTAGTGTTCATAGGTGTGGTATATAACAACAATCTTAACAGATAAGCATAAAGTAAAAAAAGAAAAATTAAAGTTACTGTTTGAGCAAGTAGAAGTTGTTTGGGTGGGGTATCTAAATGTTCTTCTCCCCCATACTTTTGTAGAATGCCTTCTCGTTGGCTAGTTTTAAACTGGTCCTTTCTGTTTTCAAATTCTTTGTGTAATAATTCCAGCTTGGTAGGATCAGCTTGAAGATGGACATCTACTCCTCGTTCATATGCTTCCCAGGCAAACACTATAAATAAAAATTTAAAAATTGGAATTTAGTTATAAAGTTATTATACATAAAAATGTAATTCTTTTATAAGCTACATTATCTTTAGAAAATTGAAAAATAGCAGATCCAATAGTTTCACATGAAAAATTATTTCAAAAGCAAAGCCTTTTCAGTTACCATATATATTTGGGTATAGTACAAGATTTTATGATTAGTTTTTTTTTCTGAAAAAACAAACAGGGGTTGCACTATACACAGGTAATTTTTTTTGAAGAGGTAAAAAAAATTGATAAATTTTCGGTGACTGGTTGCACAATACCCAGGTAAATTTTTTCTGAAGTATTTAAAATTCATACAAACAAATTTAGGCATCGTACTATACATGAAATTGGCTTATACACAAGTATATACAATGATTAAAGTGATTAACTAATTAAAAGCTCAATTAAAATGATTAACACTTGGATGCATTTTCAGATAGTTTTAAAAAAAGAAAAAGTAAATTTAGTTTGCATCAAGAATTTTAATCTTCATCTATAAGTTATAATATATAAGGTCAATGTATGTTTTATATTAAAGTAAAAAGAAAAGTCATAAAAAAAAAAAAAAAAAATGTATAAAAATTTGTAAAGAATATATATGCAAGGATAATGTCTCTCACTTTGTCTAGAAGCCATTCTTTGAGCATCACCAGAATATCGAACAAAGTTGTCTCCTGCATATTTCATCCTGAAGAAAATAAAATTACACATACACAATGAAAAATAAGAAAATGTTTAAAATATGTGAGAGAAATTTTCATTTTCAACAGAAAATACTGCAACAGTTAATGTGTTAAAGGGTATATTATAAAAATAAACATTATTATGTCTTTGGAAAAATTATTTTGATGGCTAATTTGATGAGTAAGAATTTTTAATCACTCTCAATTAAAATAATAATACTGTTAACATTTTATTGTGTAGAAGAAATATTTATTTAATGATTAAATGTGCAAATTATCATAACACAGCATGAGAATATATTTTTGGCTAATACTATTAGTAATAGAAGCTTTATAATAGCCAAACTACACAAACAATTTCTGATGAAACAATTACACAAACAATGATATTATTAACTTAGGAAGAAATTATGAAACTAATAATTTATCTAGAACAAATATTAGAAAGAGAAATTAATATTGAAAATTTTTTTAAAGATTTTTAAATTTCTTTAAAAAGAAAATATGACATAATTACTTTTATAGCATTGAAATAGTAAATATAGAATGAACTTACTCTGCTTCATCTTTGCCAGAGTTTTTGAATGGATTTTCTCTCATGGCTCTTGTTTTAGGGTCATAAAAACTGGAATTTGGATCTAGGTTGTGTAAGTACTGTAGAAATAAGATTAAACTAAATTATTTTAAGTTGAAGAATTCAGGTCATATCTGAATTAATATAATAAAAATTTTCTTAACAGAATAAACTTAACATTCAGATATGTATACCGCATCTATTTTGATACCAAAAAATGATTGTAAAATTACCTTAGCTGTATCTTCTCGAATACGTAAGTTTCTTACAGTGATTCTTTGTTTTGTTTCAAATTTCTGTCCAGGCATATCAAGATCATCAGCATATTTATCTTCATCATCACTGTCTTGTGCCTGAAAATATAAATAAAAAAGACTATCAATTATAATCCATTGAACTAGACTGTGTTCATTATAATGAAAATATAACATTCACAAAATCATTATTAACAAAAAACTATGTTGCATGTTAAAGTCTTTTTATTTTTATTTTATCCTTTAACATTACAAGACAAAAGACAAACTAGGTTATTTTAGTCCAAAAGATTTTTCCTATACTGCATAATTGACACTTTATATATATTTAACAGCAAAAAATGTCAAAAATTGAGTGAAGGAAAAAATATACAAGACAGTAAACTTTGCACATTCATAATTATAAGTAATTAAAAAATGTATTAAAATGTTTTGAACTGTATTTAAAGTATATATATTCTCTATGAAAATGTGTTAATTTAAAAAGGATTAAGCAATATTTTACAAAAGATCTAACTGCATTATTTAGATCTTGAGTTATGTTTAAAAAATTGAGATTTTGAAAAATTTTGGTAACTATGTTTTTGCTCAACTTTACCTTAGCTATTTTTCTGTCTATATAAAGAAACAAGTTCCTTTAAATTAGAAGAGTTTTTTCTCATGTGGAGACATTACTGAAGTAAACATCTGCGCACTGAAAACTATGACATCATAGGGATAATTTTAACATTGTGTTCTATTTATATTTACATTGACGTGCCAAAAGTCATGGATTAGGTGTCTACTATTGAGTAGGAGACTTCTAAACTGGCAAACTACTGCAAGTGGTCAGAAAATCTCTGGAAAGATGTTGAACTATGCCATCTCAATAACTGTCTACAATTCCTTAATATTTGTAGGTGGAGGATTTTGAATGCAAATAGACCTCTCCACCATGTTTCATAAGTGGTTGATTCTACAAATGAGATGACCACTAAATTTGCTCAAACTTCACAGAATTCTACTCAAGCCAATTCTGTGCAACTTAGGCTGAATAACATGGTGCATTATCCTGTTGGAATAATCCATCATTGTTAGGGTAAATGAAGTCCATGAAGTGATACAATATATTGTTCTCCAGTCAATGTGTTTAGGTGAACAATTGGACCCAACTCATGCCATATGAACCCTAACCTACTACATTATGAAACTGCTAACAGCCTGCAGAGTATCTTCTTGAAAACTGGGGTCCATATCCCTATGGGGTCTTTGTTATAATTGAACCCTTACATCATCTTGAAACAACTGAAATCGTGACTTATCAGTCCACACTTCATGTTGCCAGTCCTCCAGGGTCCAATTAGTGATGTCACAAATTTAGATGAGGCACTGTGTTCAGTGTCAGCATGTATGGAGTTAATTGAAAAATTGATTAAAAAAAAAAAAAAAAAAACCAACAACAATGGGTTAAAGTAACATTTCTTCGATTTAATTTTATATAAAGTTCTGATTTAAAATTTGATTTATATCCCATTAAAACTAAATATATAAATCAACAAGAGTTAAGTAAGATATCAAAATCATTGCAAATTTTGACTTTAATAATATTTTTTTTTACAAATTTATAAATGCATGTGTACTTTTTTTTTGTCATTTTACCCCAAGCAATGCAATAAAGTGATTACTGAGTGTGAGAAAATAGAAAAAAAAAGAAAATATTATTAAGGAGAGAACAATAAAAGAACAGGAATTAAGAAGACAGAATATAATTTAGATTTTTGAAGATCAAAATTGACTGGAAAACAAGAAGCTGGAAGAGAGTTCTACAAGCAAGAAGTGTGAGAAAAAAACTGTTAGCATAAAATTTATGGCTACATCTAGCAATTTGAACTGTAAAAGGATGAGTGTAGGAGAAAAAAAAATGATGTTGTGGGGGGGGGTCTTTCTTCTTCAGTCGCCTCAAGGAAATGGATTGCGTGACTCCCTTTCTCAGCCGCCACACTGGACAGCCAGTATCAATCAGCGCTGAACACCAAGTTCCATTGACAAGGAGGTTTGCCACCGAGAGTGCCGTATTTACATCTTGGTTGGAGAAAAGGCTGGCGCTGATGCCTTGTCCCCTGTAGCATTTTCCTGAACAGTCTCAAGCCCAGTGTCCAACCTCCCCACATTGATAGTAGTGTGTTCTGTGCTTCTGGTAGTTTTGCTATGTGGCCTTTGCTGCTGCACCTGAAGCAAGTCACACTGGTGATTGGGCCACTCTTGGTGGGAGACACGTCGTTACTACGGGGTGGGTGCACAGCCGCAACTACATCCTGGCTTTCATCCCCGGTTGTTGTCAGCACTCTCGCTTTTGCTAATAACTCCCCCACAGTTAGAGCTTCAACATTCAGTGCCTGTCGGAGTTCAATGGAGATCGTATCAGGGAACCCCATGATAAAGGCTAGTTTGAGGAGCCTTTCCATCTCAGCTCCCCTGAACCCAGCCAATCCAACAAGCTGCCTGATTTTGTTCGCATAGACGTCCACACGTTTGCCGGTCCACCTGACCATTGTCAGTTTTCTGTATGTTGAAAATGCGTTGTCCGTAGATGCCTCCTTCAGCTTGGCTTCGATCTGATCAACATCTCTGTGATCTTTCTCCTCCATTCCATGTAGAGGGCTAGTGCGTCCCCCTCCAGGTACAATGGCAGCAGGCTAGCCACATTGTCCACCTGCTGAAGTCTTGACACAAGCCTGACCTTTTTTAGCCAAACCACAGCATCAACCTGGCCGGAAAATGGTTTTATAACGTCACTGCTTAAAAAAAAAAAAAAAAAAAAAAAAAATGATGATGAGGGTTTTTTTCTTTCTTCTTCGGTTGCCTCAAGGAAATGGATTGTGTGACGCCCTTTCTCAGCCGTTACACTGGACAGTTGTGAAACAGACACCAACTCAACTGCGCCTACTTCGACTTCCTCTTTGTCCGTCTGTCAATCCGTACGTCCAACTCTATTACACGCAGTCCGCAGAATGACTCCCTGACACTTGGTGCTGCTGGCAACCTGCTTTTTATGCTATTCAAGATGGCCAAAATTTGCATGTGTGCAAATATCGTCTCGTTTTAGATAAGATATGCGCGCATAAATTGTGTCTTCAATAGCGGCCATATTTCTTTTTGTTATTACTTTGCAGGCAAGACATGTTTGCACTCATTTCGAATTCTGAGGTAAGTCATGTCTTTCGTCACAATGAGACCTAGCTGCCAATATAGTATTGTGGTTAAATTTGTAAATTTGAGATACCAAAGAGGAAAGCTTAACAGAACTTTATAGTGGTGGGAAAGTGACTGAAGCCAAGATGATAGGTCAGGACTGATAACATTGGTGAATTTTCTTTGGATTTTATTAAGAATCTCTATATGGTAGAAGAACCAGATCAGATGTAACTGTAATATTCAATGTATGACTAAATGGTAGACTTCTAAATGTAGAAAGATTCTGTCAAGAAAAATTGTCGAGCACTACACAGTGAAACAACTTTTCTACCAGTAGACCTAGCAAATGATTCAATATAATCTTTCCTTTCATGTCATTTGTGTACTATCTCTTCTGGAATGAGAATAAATAATAAATATAAAACCACACTGGAAAGTGCATAATGCAAAAGGAGAAGCAAATAGGAATTAAAAAAAAAAAGTAGACCAAGAGTGGAAATTAGTGCTTTATTGGAAACATACCCAAGAAAACCAAAAAATTGAACAAGAATAATGAATAATGCAAGTGTTTTTCATATTTAATGTTTATAAGAAAGTTGTTTTCATACATGTTACATTAATATTAACATGGATTATAATCATTATAGTATACTGTCTGTATTTTTTAGAGTGACAAAACAACTTATAGCCAGCACAAATCTGTGATACATGAATTTGTACAGTTTTGGTTGTAGAAAATTGACAACTTAAAGTTCACTGGTTGCTATATACATCTGAAGAAGATCGATAAATACATCAAATGAAATTCTGTGTCAAAAAAAAAAAAAAAAAAAAAAAATGATGAGAATACAATTCTAAACCTTTCTGGAACAAAGTTATTCAGGTCAAGTCAATGAAAAACTGATAAGTGATTTATAACTAGGATTTTGTAGATTTTCTATGAGACTACAAGTTAGGTTGCCTGAACAAATTTGAGTCAAATAAAGCAACACATATTGAGTAGAGTAAATAGCCATAAAAATATTACTTATAGATTAAATTAAGCAAAATATACTTTCTGGTCATTAATTCCTAAAAAAGGAATGCAAAAAGAACAAGTGAAAAAACAACACAAATTCAAGTTTAAAATTTTTTTTGTATTTCATACTGAAAAAAAAAAAAAAAAAAAAAAAAAAAAACTTCATTGTAAACTTTTGAAAGTGTTTAACAGAGATAAAATGTGACACAAATGTAGATATTGCTAATATGTATTGTTTTCATATTTATTCAAGAAAAATGTTCACCCACAGTATATGTACTCTTAACTTATAACACTATATTAAAATCAAATCACCCATATAAGACTAAAATTATTTACAAATTCACTTGACCTAGTGGAAATTGTATCTCTGAACAAAAAAAGGAAAAAGATTACATAGTATATACAACCACAATTTTCCTACATAGATTTATATATCATAATTCTGATCAATTATATGGAAACAGGTTATAGAAATATAAACATTACAATAAAGATGCAAACTATCACACAAATTCTGAATTCCATATTTTTCTTTCTTGAAAATAATTGAAGTCAATCAAAAGCTCAGAATCTTAACAACTGACACAAATTGTGCACAGCTTCTTTACATTTTCAGCACCAACATATGGAATCTGCCAACAACAAAATCTTATTAAAAAATGTAGATATAATGTCTGTTGTCTTCAAAATTTGTTCTATATATATATATCACAGCTGTTTGAGGTTTCCTATAGCCCCACTGAAATTAAATAAAGTCATTTCAAGTTTGCTATGGTAAAAATTTTCTATCCCAAGTAAAAATCATCACAAAAATGGCAAAAGTCATTTTGTCACTGCTTATTTTCTCTGAAATTTTCATACTTTTATAGGGGTAAAATATTGAAAACTGACTGTTTTATCCTCATCTAAACAAATATCAAGGAAATTTTTGATCTGAACCCCATGAAACTAGGTATTTTCTGAAAGCAAAGGATATATTTTTTCATTTAAAAGTAAAATTGGCTGGTGTAAATGACTCAAAATTTTTATTTCAGGGAGTAAAATGTAAAAAGATATTGAAAATTTGGCATTTTTTCTAGTTCTAAACAAAAATTTTTCCCATTAATGCAAAATTAACCATTTTTTTTTTGAAAATCAGAAAGCCTAAATCATAATCAAACTATTTCAGGCATAAAATTGAGAGTTTTGAAGGAAATCAACATTCCTAGGGGGTCAAAATGCAAGAAAGTCCATTGGTAATTTTCAATTATATGACTGCCAGGGGTTGTCGTCAGCTAGTAATAAAACCTACCACTCCCAGATAAGAGCAAAGAGTGAAAAAAAAGGGTCAGCATTGGTAGGGCTTGATATAAGGTTTTTTGGGGTTTTTTTTTCCAAACCTATGTTTGAACAATGGCTTGATGTGTTTTGTTTGGTTTTTAACACCCCGTGACCTGGTGATGACAACAATACTTAGCAGACGACATTGTTTTTTTCACTTCATGTCTTTCGTATTTCCCATCGCCAGGCCATTTAGCCGTTCCTTTTATTCAATGATGTTCATGTCAAATTAAGGGGAAAGGGATGAAGTTTGAATGATATTATTTTGAAGTGAAAATAAATATTTTTTCATAAAAAAATAGGTGATTTTTCTCAGAAAATTGGGCATAATTTCTTAATGCTAACTGCTGAGTGACATTTTCCACAGCCAAATTGAAGATTAATTACCAGTGAATAATTCCATGTACAATCAATAGCCGTCTGGATCCTACAACATTGCCCGAAAAGGTCCAGAAGTTTACTGATTGATCGAAAACTTGTTGCACATAATTGTGTTTTTCATGATCTGTTTCCATTATTTCATCTTGATGTTGTCATTTTTGAACAGCCAAGTCATCAGGGATTCAGAAAAACAGTTTGGCACAGGTTTGCTTTAAGAACTTTACATTCTATGAGGTGTTTAAAATGTTACTGACGAATGGGATTTTTCGCTGAATATTTCTTTTACGTGCCATGTTCGATTTTCCTATATGACAAAAATAAGCGTTTTAAACAGCTGTGATATATATAATACTGCATATTATTAATTTTAATATAAATGATAACAATTACAAATATAAACTTACCTTTTGTATTGCATCCTCATGAATAACTTCTGCGTCTTTATGTTCCTTCAACAATTGTTTTGCCTACAAAATTACAAAAACAAAATTCATTGAAAAAGTATGTTTCATCTAGAAATACTTATTACTTTTGTGAAGAGATTCTAAAGATAAAATCTTTATATAAGATCTTTAATTATTAATGTTACTATATTTTATAAAATTACAAGTACTAGGAAATGAGATTAAATTATGAACATAGCACTTATTACAGAGGTTTCTTGATCTGAAACTATAACTGATTCTAGCTCATAAGAGACAGGAATAGGTAGGTACTACATTTTGATCCAGAAAAGTGTAACAAGTCAAAATGTTTGTCATTTTTAAGAGGAAAGACCAAAGTATTTTTTTTATTATTTTATTAAATGTTTTAATCCTTTCTAGCATGTTCGAGATTTTGGCTAAAAATGTCTTTTTTTTTTTTTGCCGTCAGCAGTCGACGTAATATTTACGATTAAAAAAATAAAAAAAAAAGTTTTTATTTTTTTTGTAATTATAAAATATTACATAACATGCCCATTTTTGAAAGTATGGTTGACATTATCAGAAAATAAGAGTGGTGACTATAGTAAATTTAAATTTATCAAACATCTGAACTTTATCACATTAATCTCACATTAATCAAGTTTGGCCACCCGATATATATATGTTCCAATAAACATGTTTCATCATGTTCTTTTAGCTATAAACAAAAAAGCAACATATTTCTTCATAAAAGACAAAATATGGTTTAGAAACAGAACTGAGACTGAACTATATTAGATATATATAATCTTACGTAAAAATAGTTTCTAAATATTTTTAAAATGATTATTTGAATAAAAAATTAAAGAGTAGAATTTTTATATATATATATATATATATATATATATATATATATATATATATATATATATAAAAAAAAAACCTGATCCTATTATTTGCTTTTTAAAATTGAATAAATTTTGTAAAACTATGAAATCATTTATTAAACTAATTTTCAATAAATTAATGCAAAATTTGAAATTCAATAGTAGTGTCAATATTCTTACTTTATCAAAATTGGGAAAATAATATCCTTAAATGTTTTACCTTGACAATCTAGACTATATAAAAAACAGGTTGCAGGTATTTAACCCATAACTGGAGGGAGGAGATGAATTCATCTTTATCAAGGGTATTTGTGTGTAAGTGACCCAATTAGAATTTGATTCTTATTCCCAGCTGCTACACCTTATATGGTAGTTGTCATAAAGTTGAACTGTTTTATTCTAATGAACTGTCTTAGCTAGACAACGCCTTATTTATATATTTAAGGAACAGTCTTTCCTAACATTTTCATTTTGGTTTACTGACACCATTTGTTTTGATGATATTACACTGTTAGTGAAAGAGTAAAAATTAATATTTTTCCAAAATTGGACATACTTGCAATATTTTTGAATATTCTCTGAAAAGTTTGTTTTGATGTTCTTCTGGATCATATCCATTCCAAATATCCCTTTTCCCATCATAATCATATTTTAAAACAGGTTGTATGTATTCATCAGGTGCTATATGATTGTTTGTATATTTTGCTCCAACTCTTCGAGGACGCTAGGTGAAAAAATAAGACAAAATTTTACTATTCAGACAGATGTGGGGAAAGTTGATATCAATAAAGTATATAAAATACATACACTAAGAAAATAATATTGAGGTACATTATCGAATTTTTGTGGCAAATATCTTTTTGAAAAGTATTCTTATTAAAAAATCAATTAACTAAAGAGCAAACCAACATAAAAAATAAAAATGATTTGTAAAACATCAATTATTTATACCCCAACTTGATATTTTAAATAATATATTCTAAAAAAAACATGTGGATTCAATTACATATGACTAGTAATTATTAGAAAAATTAGTTAAGTAATTTATTTCATGAATTTGAAGAAATTTATTTTAAACCTGAAAAAGAATATTTTCTGGATGCCCCATCTAATTCCATTCATTTTGATTAATATAAAATTCTGTAAGTTCAACTAAATTAGTGTGAATAAAATCGGGATAATAATTATCAAATTAAATTAATAACAAATGTATCAGTTTACCTCAAGACAATCTTTCTTCTTATGAGTCATGGAACCACAATTTTCACAAGCTCCTTTTCTATATTTAGTAGCAATTTGAGTCTTGAAATTAAGAAAATATCAAAATTATATAAATCATAACATTTTAAAAGTGAACAGTTTATAATTGACTGCACATTATTACATTAATGAACAGCTAAGCAATTTCAGTTATGACATCATTTATTTAGGGTTTGCAAAACAAAGATCATGTGTGAGTCTGTACACATCACTTGCAGGCACGTTTGTGACTGATAAGTCCAATGTGGGACAGGCATACTTGGTCAGTAGTTGCACCTAAAAATCTGGCCTGTGCTTGATGGCATAGCATTGCAGTACATCCTCCTCTACCTCTTGTACCTGAGAGCAGGTATTATCAAAGGAGACAGCATGGTTAGTGGTGAGACACCAGGCATCACGGTTCTCAGCTAGGGTTGACAATTGGCAACAAAGAATTTTTTCAGGCAATCTTTGAATTGCTTCTTTGGTGCCCCTCTGCTATGATAGCCAGTGGAGAGCTCACTGTACAATAAAATTTTAGGCAGGCAATGATTCTTCATCCTGAAAACATGTCCAGCCCAGCACAGCTGGGACTTCAGCAGCATAGCCTCAATGCTGGTGATATTTCCCTTTTCAAGAACTTCAATATTGGAGACAAAGTCACTCCAGTGTATGTTAAGGACAATGTGGAGGCAGCGCTGGTGGAACCATTTGAGGAGTCACACATGGTGTCAGTAGGTGGCCAATGATTCTGAGCCGTATAGGAGAGTGGCGAGGATGACAGCTCTATACACCCTGATCTTAGTGTCCTTCTTCAGTTGTCATACCACACATGTTTGTACAGTCTGCCAAATGGAATGCTCACCCTTGTCAGTCTGTTGTTGACCTTGTCAACCCCAGCATCTGCTGTAATGGCACATCCAAGGTAGGTAAACCAATAGACTGCCTTCAGCTCAGTTGTGCCAATGATGATGTGGGGAGGGTGATACTCATCCCGAGGTGCAGGCTGGTAGGGTATTTTGGTCTTCTTTAAATTGACTTCAAACCCAAAAAGTTTGGTAGCCTCATTAAAGAATAATTATTGTAGTATTGTATGTCAAAAAATGACCAATATTATAATCTTGTAGTAGTAGAGATATAATCCTTAGTAGCATGTTATTTATCATTATGAAATTATTATTATATGATGAAAATTATTTTTATGAATAAATACTAGTATATGTACCTCTTTTACTCCTCGCTGATAATGTTCATCTAATCTGGCAAATGTTTTTAACTTTTCTGGTTGTGGACGTTGATGCTTGAGAGTTGGTTTGTCTGCTCCAAAGTACCAAGGTGCTTGCATAATATACTGAGGAATGTGAGGATTGATATCTCTGAAAATATTTTCAAAATACTATTATTTGTGTATGCTTATCCTTTGTATATTTCATGCAAAATATTATTTGTACAGCTTTTTCAAGTTAAAAATACAGGCTGGTTATTAAAACATTTATTCAATTTCATTTGAAATGTTTGATTGCTTTTATTGAAGAGCATGTATATACATATACTTCAATTAAAGTAAATATTACATGATCAGTTTAGTTTATTAAACTTCCTATCACTGTGAAAAAAAAAATAAGAGTGGCATAAACTAATTAAAGTCAAATAACTTATGGTTAAATATACAAATAAAACATTGAAAATCAACCTGCTAAAAAAAAAAAAAAAAAAAAAAAAAAAGGGCTGTTGCAATATTAAATGGATAATGAATAAAAATTACTGTGTAAATTAAGAAAAGTAATCATAAGTTTATATGAAATATACTAAAAATCAAGTATTTCTCATTTTTATCTAATAAAAATGAAATAAAATTTGACTAATATTAATAACTATAAATATTAGTCAAATTTTATTTCATATTTCTAGAATACTAAAACCTAACTCATTTAACAAAAACTCTTACTGGCATTAAAAACTTAAAATCCATAAAAATTATATAGCTGGCCAAAAACAAGTCTTTATTGCAGAGGATGATTTTTTAAGAAAAAAATGGTCCTTCCTGCTACCATAGAAAACTTATTCAATTACTTTCATTAAAGAAAAATCTCCACAGTACAACCTTCCAATTTATGATAAATCTAATTCATATATTCAAATGTAAAAAATAACATTGACACTTTTGAATAATTAGCTTATACATATTGAGTCCACCATGTTTATAGTGGGCTATTTCAGGAGATGCACATGTTTGTCTCACAATGCATACAAATGGCCCGCTACATATATAAAGAGCACTTGTGAATAGGTAATCCAAAAATGTTAAGTTATTTATTAAATAAAACTAATTTAATTGTTAGAAAATAAATTAAAAATGATGATTTAAATGCTCTAACTTGAATCAAAACACTGAATATAACAAAAAAGTGCAACATTTATATTAAAAAAATAAAAGCTTTACAAAAATATTTATAAATGCACAAATGAATAAATATTAAACTGAGAAACATTGTGCAAATATAAAATTTCTTTTAAATAAAAAAGAAAAGGTATACAAAAAGTTATACAAGTTTTCAGTTAAACACATCTGTACAGAAAAGTTAGATTGGGGCTTTATTCCCCCCCCCTCATTTTGTACATGTTACTAGAACCATGTGGTAATATAATTTTAGAAAGATAATGCTGAATAATCAAGGTCATGAGTGAAAGGGAGCATATCTATTTAAAAAGATAATTAAAAATTAACTTTTTCATGTTTGTGTATGTATATAAAAAATGTTCACTCACTTTCCTTCTTCATCTTGCATTGCTGGAACAGTTCCTGCTTTACGAGCCTCTTCTAACTCTTTCATTTTTTTCCAATCCTCACGTGATTGTTTCTTGGGTTCATCTTGCTCCTTCTGCTCATATTTTGCTTGCCTTGCCACCACAGATGGTGGGAGGTTTATTTGAAATGACATCTTGAAATACTACTTATAATCTAACTCTGAAATATAAAAGAAAAAAAGACTACAAAAATTAACCATTGCTTAAATAAAGCATATTTTAAGATAAACTGTATTTCCATTATATCTCATATATATATATATATATATATATATATATATATATATATATACACACACATATAAACAATAAAAAATCAAGGCCTTAATTTCTAAACACTAGCCTATTAATATTTTTGATTGTTGTTTTTTGTCTTATCTTTGTAGATTATTTAAAGATGAAACATATTTTGGATTGGAGATTACTTACAGTACCTAGTGTTCCCAAGTGGTCACACATCTAAGTACTGACCAGGCTTTACACTGCTTAACTTTGGTGATCAAATAAGAACTGGTATTTGATTGTAAGCAGCCTATTAATGATTACTTTACCAAGAAAGAGGGAAAAAATAATTTTGGTTATTTTTAATTTGCTATTAAAATATTAAAGACAAAATTTGAATGCCATACACAATAGTACTTTGTAAATTTGGGGTAATAATCTTTGCAGTTCTTTAATCAATAACAAATATTATAGTATAATATTTATTTGAAATATTTATAATGCTGATTTTGGACATCTCATTATTAGCCATTAACAAGCTCGTTTCACAGATCATTAGTGAATTACAATTTGCACTACTGATTGTGAGGGAATGGTTCAATCTTTATCTGCTGAAAAAATTGATTCTTTAACCAGTTTTAATGAGATATTTTGTTAAAACCAAATGATATGCGTTGGACTAGAGAGGCATGTATGTACCACTACTATTTGTAGAATTAGAATTTACCTTCTTCATTACAAAACACAGGATAGTTTTTAATTGTAATCTTTAAAGCTTTTTAAAAATTATTTGTAAGATTTTATTTTCATCAAAATATTTTTACAACAATTTAAAATAAAATTATGCTAAACATTTTGAAAATTAATTTATTTTAACTCCATAAGTTGGATTTAAGCAGTACATTTTATTTTTCATCATATTCTTAATAATGCTGATGTTAAAAAAATTATTGCGCTGACATTTGAGGTTACAAGTCTCCCATAAGTTTCAATAAAGACAACTGATAAACAAGGTACTGCGATTATTAAGCTTTTTATTTTTATTTAATTTTGTGTTCGTATATAAATTTAAAAAAATGTTTTTTCTGGACATAAAAGCGAGTAAAAATTGTCCAAATATTATCCGAGCGCTTTTGGTTATTATTATTAGCCATTATCAAGTTTTTATTTTTTTTTAAATTTTTATGTGAATCTGTAGATTTTGTTTCTCTAGAGAGTGATGGGAATGTTTTTTTTTATTACAAAAAGGGTCCTGGATTTTTTTGTACACTATGCATCGGCTGTAAAAAGGAAAAAAAAAAAAAAAAAAACGCAATCCTGAGGTTTTGTGAGTAAAATGTGAAGAATTTTTACTCATAATTTCTTCTTTAACACATAAACCTTCCAAATTTGATTGAGCAAAATTTACTTTTGAAACTGAAGCAGTTATTACAAGTTTTAATTAATTAGTCTCCCCCCCCCCCCACCACTCGGTTTCAGCTTTATGTGTACGCACACACTGGAAAGAGAATAAGTATACATAAAATGATGAAAATGTCTTTTTAGCAAAATCTTGTAATAACTAATTATTATTATAAGTATACCAAGTAAGTAATAAAGTTTTGTAAATACACTCACCAGCAACAAAACAGGTAGAGAAATTCCTGACAAGCTAAAAAAAGAAGGTTGACGGCTGAATATTGAATTTTATTGACCATTACTCTACAGTAAACGACTTGAACATATAGAAAACTTATGAAATGCAGAATTTGAAAAAAGAAAAAAAAATGAAATTGAGTACAAAAAGTGGAAACGAAATAAGGGTTGATTGTATTATTTAATGTTTCTTTTAATTTGTCCCTTTTTCTACACAGAAAGAAACCCCCACCCTAACGCTAAACTTAACCCAGTTTATTACAGTATTATTTATTTATTTTTTTTAATTTGTTCCCTTTTCTACACAGAAAGAAACAACCAAACCCCAATACCTAACTCTAAACTTAACCCATAAACATTTTCATGCTCTTTACAAAGTGTTATGTCATAACACTTTGTAAAGAGCATGATTATGTACAAAATAAAATTACAAAAAATGCTAGAAACGAAATAAGGGTTTATATTTATGTTTTTTTTTTCAATTTGTTCGCTTTTAATTAAAAATAAAAAGCTTTATTGTATTATTTAATTTTTTCTTTTAATTTGTCATTGCTATTCTATACGGAAAAAAAGGTTCTATTGTATTATTTAATTTGTTTTTGTTATAAATAAAACTACAGTTACACTTACCAAAAAAAAAAAAAAGAAAGAAAATTACATTTCTTTATGGTACTGCACTAAAAGTCTGTAAAAGAAGTAAAAATAGGACAGAATTGAATTACTGAACATTATGGCAGTAATGGGGGACGACTGTCCAACAAGAAGTCCGATTTTTTCTTGTTGATAACTTCAAAACGGTAGGTTTCTTCATAATTTAATTGTTAATTCGAGTTCAGCATGGAATTACACGGAATTATGACGATCTGGGAGAATTTTAAGAGATATTTAGCGCGGGCGTTTAAAAGCAAATTTACCGGTTTCTAAAAGGTTTATGAAACCCTATGACAAAATGAGGACAATCAAGGAACATCAACCTAAATGAATTCAGTTCATATGTTCTTTAAAACAAAATTTAAGATTCAAAACTTTATATAAATTATTCTAATTGAAATGTAACAAAAATGAAAACAATTCTTGTAAAAAAATTCATTTCTCGAATTTTTTCTTTTTTTAAGTAAGACCATAAGTAATTATATTTCCTTTTTCATTAAATTTATTATTAAAATTTAGAGAAATTATACGATGTATTAAAAAATAAAATATAAAAATGTGTTAGACTTTAAATTTTAATTCTTTATTCAGGAATAGGTCACAGTTAAAAATAAAATTAAAAATCAAATCAAAATCTAATTGAAACCCGAATTCTTTTGGAGCCTCTGTAAGATTGTTGTTAAAATTAATAGTTTCTTTATAACTTCCGGTTGTTTACTTGCACACTGCTGAAATGGTCCTGTTACAAAGAGTGAGTTCGTTAATCAGATGTTTATTTCAGAAATCAAACCCATGTATTTTTCCTAAAATATTTTACAATGTCACTTGTAAACATAAATTAATAAGAAGAAATAAGGTTACGAATATTAATAATATGTGCTATACACATGTATTCGTCCGTTGGAAATTTAGTACTGGTGTTTCGCAAAATGTGCGAAGACAAAAAATGAAATGCGAGAAGCCAAAGACGGACAATGAAAGCTCTAAAAATATTCCAGTTATACTCGACATGCTTATAAATAACAGAGATTTGAGCACGGATGATTTAGATAAAGTATATAGAGAAAATCAGACTTATGAAAGTCCTTGCAACGAGACGCGTCAGTTACTTGAGGCTTACACAAATATGGACATCAGTGTTAAGCACCTGGAAGAATTAATGTTGAAAATACGTATTAATATATCTACTTATGAAGATCCGCAGAAAAAAACTCCAGTATTTTCTATGGGTGATCCCGACCCTTCTGTGCCAGTGAGTAATGTCGACTGTCCTGGTTGTGGCTCTCTTCTGCAGTGTCAAGATCAGAATATACCTGGGTACATTCCTAGCAAAAAGTTTCTTTCTCTTGATCGTGATCAACTATTAGATACACTATGTTTCCGGTGTTTCCTTATGAAATACTACAACTATTGTTTGAACTTAAAAGTATCAATCGATGAATATCCAACTATCTTATCTAAAATCAAAAACTCACGTGCTTTGGTGATGGTTGTTGTGGATATGTCTGATATGAACAATAGCATTTTGAAAACTTTTCTGCCTGTCATTGGCAATACACGGCCCTTATATGTTATTGGTAATAAGGTCGACGTAATTCCAATGGATTCTCATAAATATCTGGATCATTTGAAACATTCTTTACTTGATGCTTGCATCAAAGCTGGTTGGAATCTTCATGGTAACATCAAGCACGTAGCTCTTGTGAGTGCAAAAACTGGATACGGAATTGAAAACCTCGTATCTAAGTTGTTCACTGATTGGAATCGTTGTGGTAAGTGTTTTTCTGTCTGTAAAACTGGTTTGGATTTTTTTTAAAAATCCCATCTAATTAATTAATCATTTTTTTGTTTTTGTTCGAATTTTAATTATCGAAGACATAAAATCATAAAAATTGACTTCATTACTGAATACTATTAGAAAACTTTGTGTAAATATTTTAAAATATTTACACAAAGCAAAGTTCATCTTTTCAGTATAAAATTCATTCATTAATGAATAAGTACTGAAAATTTTGATTGAATCAGATAATTCCCTGATTTTTGACAAATACTGGGTGGCAATTTTAGCTTTCATTTCAGAAAAAAAAAAACGCATATATTTTGGTGGTATTTAAATGGAAAAGGTTAAAAGTTCAAGACTCCCAGTATCTTAAAATAAAAAGAATTAAATTTTTTTTTCTTGTGTGTGTGAATGTATGAATGTATCAGTTTTTACTTTTTGTAAATACAGATGTCCATACACAATATCATCAGAAAATAAAAGATATTGATTGAGTCCTGCAATTCAAATCAGTTCTCACCATGCTTTTCATTGATGGACAAGCCAAGTCCAGGGTTTTTCATGTTTTTAAAAACATTTTTATGGTTTTGTGGTGCGGCAAGAAGGTCAAGAACAACCACTTATTAGTGGGGAGGCAAACTGTCAGCATTATTCACTAGAACACCTGTGACTGGAGAGATAGCCACCTGCCACAAGAGACACCTGACATATATTGTTATGGTGCATGTTCATTAGCACATGTATCCTTTGTATTATTAATGATTCAAGAAAACAATGAAACTCCAAATGTGAATCAACAAGTATATATTGAAATAACATACAAGAACAAAATATACAATAATTTGTATTCAGTGTATAGATTAAGGGAAAAGAAGTTGCTTCCCTTTTACTGTATTTTGATTTGTATTTGATTGTTCGAAAGAAAGTTCTCTTTAGAGAGAAATGTTCAGGAATCAATGTTAGAACAAGTCTGCTGTTGAAATAGATAACACAAGAATACAATTGATCAGAAAGTGTGTTGTGTTAGAGAAATCAACAGTCCTGGTTGATTGAACTTGGCTGAGTCAGAGAGAGATATGTATATATGTATTACAAAATTCTGTGTCTGTGTGTGTGTTTGAAATGTGAGTAAAGTCATAGGTTTGTGTTGACAGGCGAAATTTGCTGGACTCTACTGGCGGCTTGTGAAAAAGTCGCCTCTTTTAAAGCTTCAGCGAAAATGTGGGAAAAGTTGATTTTGCACTGAAATATGTGATTGGTTAAAATTTGACCAATCGCTAAATTTGTACTAACGAAACAAGTAAGCAAGTTCAAAACTGAAAAATTCAAAGCAACGACTGCGATGGCTAAATTGTCCTATAGAAAGGCAGTATTGATTTATTAGCCAATTGCAGACGAATAAAATGTGGGCGTGGAAAAGCAGTCGCAACAACATCACAATGTCAGTACTAATTGCAGGGGTGGCAAGGCCTGCAGTGTTAGCACCATCATTAGCAGGGAGGGACATAATGTTGATATGCAATGGTGCCCTCCTCAATAGTGGCAAAGAACATGACAATGATGAAAAACTGTTGTAAAAGGCTGTTGAGCAAGGGTGTTTGGGGGAAACACTTAACAGATAGTTCTCTTAAGAATTATGGAGGAACAGGCAGAGAAGGGAAAGAGATGGGAAGAAACAGAACTGAGTAATGACTAGTGAGGCCACACTCTCCTCCTGATCACAGATATGACAGCTTGGAGTGGGTCTCTTCTGTTGAGTGCTTCTCCAAAGGTGGGCTAGTTTGTAATCCTTCCTCTGTGGGATCATCTGACCTATCCACACTCATCATTTCCTCCTCAACTTTCGACATATCATCTTCACTAATTGTTGAAGATTGTGAATTCAGGAAAGGATGAAGGTCCCTGACATAGCATGGCATTCCATCCACCAAGACTGACTGTGGACAATTCCAGTAATTTGTCCCTTTCTGAAAGTTGTTGTACAACAGTTGTGAGGGGCCTTTAACCACAGGGAGTCTCCCATCTTGTACACTTTGTGGCCCACCTCAGACATTGGTGGCATAGAAGCTGAACATCATATTTGTTGACTTGAGTTGCAAGCACAGTCAGTTTCAAAGTGTCATCTTTGGGAGGTGACATTGTACCAGTAGGTAGCCTCTTCAACAGTACATTTCATCCTCTTAACATTTCTGTGATACTACTCCATTATTTTATTTTTTGTTGGGGCATGTGTGCATTGAAATTACAAATGCATTCATCCCAGACTTTCAGTTTGAGCATGTGAGCCCCATCCTTTCAAACCTTCTGGCACATCAACCCATACTCAGCCAGTCTTGCCTTATCATGTTTTACAGACATGACTCCTCCTGGGACTACACAACATTAATATTGTACATTGTAGGAAAAAGAAGAGAGAAAAACAAAAAGTGACGATAGGGTTCGCCGGCAAACCAGCTGTTATTCTTCGCCATTGGTCGCCTGAAAGAAATGAATTGCGAGACTCCTTTTCTCGGTTGTTACACTGGGCAGTCGTGAAATGGACACCCAAATCAAACGTGCTTACTTCAACTGCCTCTTGGTCTGCCAGTCTATTCGCATGTCCGACTCGCCGTCTGCTGTGCTGCTGGCGCCTCGCCTTTTTATGCTAGTCTGACACTGCTGAAATTTGCATATGTACTGGTACAATCTCGTTTTGGACAAGACCTGTGCATATAAATCGCGTCTTCGACAGCGGCCATATTTCTTTTCGGATTTACCATGCAAGCAAGACACATTCGCAGACGTTTCGAGCTCCAAGGTAAGTCATCACACCCCTGTCTGATCTCATGATCACAAAGGTGGCAGCCCAGCGGCGGTCGTTTTCGACAGGTGCTTCTTCGTAAAGGCAGGGCGGGGGGCTCTGATCTCGCTCCCCCTTCGGGTAGATTGTCAGAGAGGAGCTCTGCTTCTATTCCCTTGTCAAGTGGATCGACGCATTTCACGCTTTCTTCATTGAGCAGCAAACTTTCCGCCCCGCTCTCAGATGTGTCATCGGAATCTTCCTCGGATGCGCCGTAACTGTGGCGCGGGCATAGATCCTTAACGTAGCGGGGTATTCCGTCCACTAGAAATGACTGCGGGCTGATCATTTTCGTCACCCGACCCTTGTTGAACCTGGTGGTGCACCGGCTTATTGCCGCCTTGACCCACACACGATCTCCGACCTGGTAGGGGCCATGCCTATGGTCTAAAGACATCGTTAGGGCGTCAATCCCTTTCACCCTCAGTTCGTATCGGTGGATCCTGTTGGCGGGCACAGTCTGGGGTGATGTATTGTCTTTTGGTGTGACGTTGTACTAGTAGACAGCTTCCTGTACGGAACAGTGCATTCCGAACACGATTTGTTTTACCGTGCGGTGGCATCGCTCCACTATACCATTCCCAGCTGGGGCGTATGCACATGGGAACCGCAAGTTGATTCCCCACTCACGTGCAAAGGCTCTGAATTCTCTGCTGCAGAAAGCTGGGTCGTGAGTAGCTCATGTGGTGGGCCCTGCTTGAGGAACACTTCTTTCAGCTGGCAGATGACAGCCGCCGAGTCTTGTCTTGCCAACTGCTTCCAGATTGAAAAACGCGACGGGTTGCAGTCCGTCAGCATTAGGAAATGATGGGCACCATAGTGAGTGATATCCATCCCCAGTCTCTGCCAGTTTCCGCTTACCTCAAGCTTTCATTTTTTCCTGTGAGTTGGTGTGGGGTCTATGGACTGACATTCCTCACACATCCGTATAGCTGATCTAACGGCTGCTTTTGTCATTGACGGGCTGACTCTCCTGGCAAAGTAGGTAGTACGCCACACTCCTGGGTGACCACTGTTCCCGTGGATGGACATGGGTGGCGCCAATCATTGGCCTGGGTCTGTTACATGTCTTCATTGCGTCAAACTATCGCTGCGGTACTCTTGTCAGTCCATCAGCTATATTCAGAGCCGAAGGGACCAGTGCCACGTCAGCTGATACTCTTCCACGAGCTCTTTAAGAGTGCTCAACAACCTCCTGATGAGCATTTCATTTGCCGCCTTGGTGTGCACTCGCGCTCTCCCAGTCAGAGTATCTGACACCCAATGGTACATGCAAACGGAATCCGTTTTTAGGTGTAGCGTCTTGCTCTGCCACTGGAGTGCTAAATTGACGCCTTTCAACACGGCATCCAGCTCGGCCAGATTGATGTGCTGTGCGTCATCTTTAGGTTGCAACCAGCAAGCATCCTCCAGCACTGCCTCGCGGCTCTCTAATGCTACTCTGGTCGCCAGTGAACTTGCATCGACCCATATGTTCAGCTCCCGGGCATCCACACACCACTCCCCACGAGCTGGATTGTCCCGCTGCACAGAATCCACGGTCTCAGACACCATGCATCGGAGAAGGGCATCTTTTGTTTCATCATCCCAGCCCTTTGTAACTGTACTTGCTCTCCTCTTGAGCATTCCACATGCCACACAGAGCCAACCACACACTGGTAGGTGCCCAACAAGCCTTCCACACAGAGAACACCTTCCGTCGCGTAACGACTTCGAGGGCGTTAGGAACCACGCTATCTTGTCTCCACCGTAGTCTTCCTTGTTCCATCGCGACCACCAATCTCAGTACCTGTGCGCCATCCTCCAATTGTTCTGGGTCCTTGCATTCCTGCCCAAACTGGGACAGATGTTTTTTTAACGCGGTTCGTGGGAACGACATCTTCATTGTAGGCAGATGCCGCGCGACCCACAGCTTCCTCCTGAGCCAGCACCGTACTGATGATCGCTTTCATGATGATGTTTTCATGTAATGGCCACGTTTACCCCTTGTTGGTGTCACTCTTGCAGTTTGGCCACACAAACACCTGCTTTTTCATTGAACTTATCAACATATTCATTGAGCTCATTAGAGTCCATCACTGTGTGTACCTTCCCTTTGTTGTACTGCATGACAGCCATTAATGGCACTAAGCCTTGTGTTGTCCCTGTCTTTTTCTGGGATATGGTATTAGCCAAACATTGATGATCAATGTCTGGAGTTCTTGTTCATAAGCATCCCTAATGTCCTTGGATATGGGGAACCCTATTTTATAACTGGGTTGGCACCACACCTTCTGTCCACTTCCATTTTGTAGTCCAGATCTTTTGTTGCTGGTTGAATTCCACAGAAAAGTCAGGTTGGTCAATATGGATCAATGCACATGGTGTTTCTTTGCTGCAGAACTTCATAGCTCCAGTCTGCATGATATTGATGCCACTCAGTACCATTATAGAGTTGATTCTGGCAAGCAGGACAAACCCTAGCAGTCTGTCACATACCACTAGGACTTCAACCACACCTGAGTTGCCACTATCTGTGCTGATACTAAAAGTTCTGACACCACAACACACCTACATTCTGTCACCAATTGCCTCCACATCCACATGCTTCCCAGTATGCAATCTGCATCACTCTGCACTAATGATTGATCGAGAACAGCCAGTGTCAATGAGAGCTGAATACCAATATGTTGACTATAGGCAGTGCTGCATTTACATCTGGGTGGGGAATGAGACTGGCATTGATGTCTGTTCCCCTGATCCTCCATGGATTATTGGTAGAAGTTGAGGCTATGCCCTGTTGCTCAGGTTTCACAGCTGCCATAACCAATCCTGTCACTGGTGCATCATTCTTCAGTATGGCTTTGGATCACTCTAACAACTGGTTGACAGCCAGTGCATCTATTTCAGAGTAAATGTGAAGCAGCCACCTGACATACTCAGGCAGCCCTGCTACAAATGCATATGCAATTCCATGGTCAGACACCTCACTGTACAAGGTTGACAGTCTGCACAAATTTACCAAATAGACATCCAGAGATTTGTTTGAATTCAAGTGTCTAGCTACGAACTGGTCATATGCTATAAATGGATCTGTGGCAAAGACAACAAGCAGGTTATCCTTGATACAATCAACATCTTTTCTTTCTTCCTTGATAAGTTCTTGGAACACAGCAAATATGCCACTTGTCATTTGCTAGCATTATTATTCACACAGATTGCAGACTAGTTCAGCCTTTTCAAACCATTTAACATTAGAGAGACCCTGGTCTGAACCATCAAATTCAGGGACTAATCTCAGGTTGAATTTACTGTCTGCCATGAGTGTCAAAATAGCTTGTTGCAAAATAAAGCAAGGGTGTGATATGGTTGGAGGAAACACTTAACAGATTCCTCTCTTAAGAATTACAGGGATACAGGCAGAGAAGGGAAAGAGATGTAAGGAAACAAAATAAAATTGAGTTATGACTAGTGAGGCCAGTGCCTCAGAAACTACAGCATGGTGGGCAACACAATTTCCGAAACAAAATGCACCAAAGGAATGTTTTCACAAGACACCAAAAGCAAGTCACACAAACTGCCCACTGCTCTCACTTTTCTTGACAAGACCTAGATCTGGATAAATTGCAGAGAGGACTGTATCTGGACATGCCATGTTCTGCTGCTAACAGGGAAAACCTGTGTCTTGATTTCTCTTTTGCATCTCTACTGACATATTTTTGCTACGAAAAACAAAGCAAGGCTTTATTCTGCAGACCAGGTGTCCTTGGCCGGAACCTAACAGGTGGGGTTCGATAGACATGTCTCATTGTTCATACATGTAATGATGGTAAAACGCTGCAATGATCACCCACCAGTCATTTTTTTCAGCATGAATGCAAGCCCAGTTGGTAATTAAATCAAACTTTACGTTACATGGTTTCTTAATCTCTCTTAAATTTTATTTTTTAAAGATTTTTTGATAAAGAGAATTATTTTGTATTGGGAGAGGCAGATTTAGCTTTGGCTAAAATAAGCAACTGTTCTGTTTGACTCCTGAAAGCTAACTGACTAGTCACTTTTATCAGTCTATGAAGTGATGTCACTAAGTGGCTGTCATGTGATGTCATCTCAACTAAAGGGAGATAATTGCCTTTTATAGCTCTAAGACCTTGACTATGCTGATGGAGAATGTGATAGAGCAATTTATTGGGCTGTTATGAGGATAATCCAGCATATGTACAAGTAAGCAAAATTTGGATGAAAGGAAAGGAATTTATGGAGGTGAAATACAGAATTAACATACCATTCCCAGATGTATGAAAGATAAAGATAGTAGAAACCCAGACCAGAAATATATCCTACTCTAATAGTGTACAAAATCCATCAATTATGACCAACACTAATCTGCTACTAAAACTAGGACTAGGTGACAGGCCAACATTCATAAAAGAAATCAACTATGTCTACTGCTAATCACTGAAAAACTAAATGATTATTCACATTATTTATATGTGGACTATTGTCCCCATCTTTGTTGTTATTATCACAACATTTTGTCATAGTGATCTCTGGCTTTCATCAGGTGTTTGTCAGTCTCAGTAATCTTCAGGGAATTTTGAACTGAACCCTTTAGTGAATTTACCCTTGTAAGTTGTTCTCATTCTGTTGGCCATATTTAGGGATATCTTTTCTAGTTCTTTTTTGGGTACTACTCAGTTATTGTTCATCTCATTTCCACTGAGTTCAAGTAAACGCTGCCTGGCACAGGGATTGAACTCACAATTACTATGTCATTATTAGACGTATTAACATTGCTTGTATAACAATTTTATAAATATCTGTTATCGTATGATCTTTTTATTTTCAAATTATGAAATATACAAATTCATACAACAGAAACAAAATTATCTAAATTGAATAATTTCTGTCATATATTATAAATATAAATGATAAATACCATTAAAAATAATGAGACACACAGCTTCTATGTAAAAATTTACTTAGAGTGGATTAGTAAATTTGTAGCTTGATGCAGCTGAAATTTTCATTGTATAATTTTTGATCTATGTAGTTAATAGAAAAATATTGAACAAGGAAGGATATTATTTTTAAAAGTAAATATTTGTTGTGTAAAATAAATGCTTCATTTCATCATTAGGCTATGAACTTATTACCTGTATATTTTATTTTAAAAAAGAAAGACTTAATTTTTTAATACTTTTGGATTATCAGATTTTTCAAACTGTCTCTTTTTTTCTTTTCTTTTTTTTTTTTTTTTTCATTTTTCATTTTTTCTGTTACCACATTTTTACTTGTAAATCACTTTAGAGGTGAAATTTTAAAATATTTTATTTCTGTTTTCAAAATTTCAAAATGTAATAAAAATAGTTAACTTCTGAAATGTACTCACCCTGATAGCATTCTTTATGTATTTTGAGAAAATACTTTAAAACTTTTTTAAACTCTTTTATTCTGTAATGTGAAAAGCAACAATAAGTTTTTTGGGAGTTGTTTGAATTTTTTATTACTTTTATTATTTTATTTTCATGGAGTTATTAAACTGAATATGAACAAATACAATTTCCTCTGTGAATTCAAACTCGGCGGTTGCATTCCTAGCAAGGGGTATATCATGCTGAAAGACGTCATATGATGTATCAAAAACTGATGCAGTTAGACACTGCCTCCTTATTCACTTGTCATATTTTTTACCAATTATCACTTTTCCAGGTCTTATAAGATTTATATTTATTCTATCACAGTGAAAACTGGGATGCATACAAGTTATATGCATCCCAGTTTTCATTGATAGAATACATTTACTACTGAATTGTTGGCAACATTTTGTGAATTCTAATGGTGCTTACTTTGACTAATAAAATTGTTAGTTGAAACATAATTTTATTAAAGTAATGACATTTTAAAATTTTGTGGTTCAAAGGAACCATTTATTGTTCCTAATTGATAATTCTCAAAAGTGATATTATTGCCACCATGTTCAGTTGAAAATTTGTAGAAGTATTTAAAACAATATCCTTTATTTGTTCTCTCTTAAAGTAGATATTGAGGATAAAAATATTTTCTAATTACAAAAATATAGGTAAATCTTTACTTTTTAATCTCAAATAAAATATTCTGTAGACAAAAGCAAAACTATTGAAAATTTCAACAATGCAAATATTTTCTACATTTAACATTGTCATATCCAACCAGAAACTTTTATATAAAATGATCTTTAACTTTTCTTTTCTTTTAGGTGATATATATCTAGTTGGATGTACAAATGTTGGCAAATCATCTCTTTTCAATGTTTTGTTACAATCTGACCTTTGCAAAAGTAATATTCGTGATTTATTTGAACGAGCAACTGTATCCATCTGGCCTGGTAAATAAAAACTTTATTTTCAATACATCAAATATTTTTAACTTTTATCATTTCATTATGTTATTGCTTTCATCATTTAATAATATTTATTTTAATTTAAAATCTCTTAAATGGAAAACATTAAACTTATAAACACTTGTAAGTGTTCTTTCTAAGTTCTACAATAAATTGCTTCTTCTTGCTGAAATCCTCTTCTATATTTCCTATTTTTAAGAACTCTAGCAAACCATCTGATGCTTCAAGCTATTGAACTATTAATTTTCTACCTGATTTTGGCAAAGTATAAGAGGTTCTAATCAACTCCAAATTGGTCAAGTATTTTCATTGACAAATAATATAGCTTTTGCTTATCTAGGTCAACTGCTGATGTGTTAACAGTTATTGCTGATAGTCTGTCAAGCTTTAGACAAGAGTGGCAAATTTTGGGCTATTGCTTTAGATATCTCAAAGGCATTTGATAGAGTTTGGCATATTGGATTTCTTCTTCTGATCAAACTTTTGATTTGATTCAATCTTTCTTGTGAAATTGCAAAATGAATGTTGTTTTGAATAGCCACTGTTCTAGATCTTTTTACATTAATGTGGGTGCCCCTCAGGTTTCTATCTTTGAACTTGTCATCACTTCTCAATTCAGTATCTATGCTAATGGAAACTGTTTACTCCTGTCTTAATGGTAAGTCTCATAGGTTTGATAAGGTCAAATTGGTAGCTAATATTAATAATAACCTTCAACTTCAGCTTTAACTTTTTAATACCTCCAAAATGAAACTGGTCTATTTTAATCATCTTAGAGAACTGTTTTTGCTTTCCATCAGTATGGCTAGTGTTTTAACCTCCTGAAAAGTAATTCATTACATCTTCCTGGTTTAAGGTTTTCCACTGATATGAAGTGGAATTGTTATATTGAATCAATTGCTAGACCTGATGCTAGGAAATTTTTGTTCACTGTGTTGTGCTAGACATTTTTCTCAGCAGAATCCATCTTGCTCATTTATAAGTCATAATAAATAATACCATTCATCATTGTATCAAATTTCTGCTACATCTGATCTGGTGCTTCTGCTATGTATCTGGAGTTTCTTGAGAAAATTCAAAGAAGAATCTGAAATGATATCAGTCTTGACCTGGCATCTTTGCTTCAGTCATAATCCCATCACCATAACATAGCTTCCTTGTTCTGATGAGCTTTCCTGTTTGGTACTTTGACTTCACAAATTTAGTTGTATTACTAGATTGGTAGCTTAGTTGGTTTAATTTTACTGCTGAAATTGCTAGATGCTTTCCAGTCAACTACAATCTTCAAAAATATAAATGCAACATCAATTGTCATCTTATTCTTTTATTGTCCTCTCTCCTCAATAATGTTTTTCTTGGATTCTTTTACTCTCAATAACTCCTTGTCTCTTAGAAGCTTCATCACTTTGCTTCAAGTGAAAAAAAAAAAGAACTAAAGCTCTAAAACCTTTTCACTTCTTGCATACAGAGAATACTATAAAAGTTTGATTACATCATCCATACATATCTAGTTTACATTCTTTTTATGTCGAAGAAGAAAACTATTACTTTACAGATAATGGGATATTATTTTGATAGAGAAACGTACCTGAGAATGTGTTTTTTCTTTAGTTATTTTTCTATTATTGTATTTTCTTACAAACCCAGAAATTCGTAACCAGTTTGTCACTTGGGTGAGCCATAGATTTGATGCTCTACAAGACTCTCTGACAACAAAATCTGCTAACACAACATTTAACAACTTTGAAACTGCTTGTAAGGAAACAGCTGAGAACACCATTCCACTGAAACCTAAGGTAAAGAAACAAACTCCTTGGGAATCTGAGAAGATCTGCGAAAAATATGAAGAACTACACAAAACTGCAAAATTAAAAACTCACAGACATCACCCAAAAGCATCAGTCACTTCAATGATGCTCACAATGCAATTAAAAATGCCTATGAAGTGGAACAAATTCAGTATCTACAGAATAAGATCACCAAACTTGTAACTGCTGTTACCAACAAGAAATTTGCTGTTGACTGGAAAACTATCAACAAAATAAATGGAAAAAATAGCAGTAACAGATCCAAGCTGAAAGCTTCCAGCCAAGAGGAATGGCTAACACTGTGACAACAACACTTCCAAGATTTGCTTGGCAATCCACCCCAGATCCTATATCTACAGAAGAGCTTAAGATCAAGAAGAGCATATTCACAATAGATGAACAACAGAAGGCTGTAAGAATACTCCAAAATTGGAAAGCTTGTGAAGTATGAAAGTTAGATGAATTTAACCATGTCCTACTAGAATTTGCAACAGCGTTTACTATCAAGACCCTATAGACAAAGAGACTGAGGGGTGCCTGCTTCAGTTTCCTAAAAAGGGGCAACCTTAGACTCACAAAAACTCTCATGATATCTCATTAACAGCTATTGCAGCAAAAAAAAAAACTATAACCTGATGTTGTTGAACAGAATAAGACTGGAAACTGAGCCAATACTGAGGAAAAACCAAAATGGCTTTCCCACCAACATATTGACATCAGGAGAAATTCTTACCATTCGACAAATCTTGGAAGGCATACAATCCCCAAACCTTCCAGAAAGATGAAGAAATATTATTTACATATAAGACAGATTCCATCATGATGCTGTATCAGAACACCCATTCCATGGTACACTCACCTGATGAAGACAGTTTTTTGATATTACTGCAAGTGTCCTTCAAGAAGACACGCTTGTGCCTTTTCCTTTCATAATCTGTCTTGACTATGTGCTGAGAAAAGCCCTAGATAAGAACTTGCAGCTTGACTTCACTTTCACTGAACAAAAAAAGCAGGTGCTATCCAACTGAGAATATCACTAATGCTGATGATCTAGCAATACTGGCTATCTAAAAGACGCAATGTCACTCCTTTACAACAAAAATGTAACCTAGGAGATTGGACTGTATGTCAATATGGTTCATCTGCCTGAATCAAGATACATTGACAGGCATGAAAAGTTTGGATGAGAAAACATTTTCAAATACCTGGGTAGCTATAGTGACTTCACTGAGAATGACGTCAACATCAGACTGGGAAAAACCTGGGAAACACTTAATGAAATAAACAAAATCTGGAAATCAAATCTACTGGACAAACTGAAGAGAAACCTTTTCAGAAATGCAGTAGAGTCCATCCTTGTATATGGCTCCTTAACCTGGACATTAACAGACAAACTGGAAAAGGGGTTGGATGGTGCTTACACATGAATGTTTCGAGCTGCACTAAACAAATCCTGGAAAAGATCACCCAACAAAGAAAGAACTCTATGGCAACATACCTCCCATCAGCAAATCAATATGCCAACAAAGATTTGCTGTTAACTGTTGGCAAAGCAGAGAAGAACTAGATGGAGACATTCTGCTCTGGATGCCATCCTATAGAAAAAGAACACAAGGTCGGTCAATGGATCATCTGATTGAAGACACAGGATGCAAACTGGATGAGCTTCCAAATGCAATGAACGGCAAAAATAGATGGAAGCAGTGTGTAATGGAATGTCAAGCTTGCTCAACTGACCTGATGATGATGTATTTTCTTTCATTTTTGTCTTAGAATATATGTTTTCTTTTATTCGATTTGTAACAGAATCTCTACAACCAACTTTGCCATAATTTCTATTTCCACTGTACTTCTTTAGATGTATGAGATAGATTAAGATATCAACTTAATAGGGGTCATTAAACTCATCAAATTTAAATTGTTACTTTCAAGTACCTGATTTGCTTCTGCTTTTAGACTAAAACTTTTTCTTTTCTTTTTAATGGCACAGGAACTACAATGAACCTTCTAAAATTTCCTTTACTTCAACCTACACCTGAACGGATGTATAAAAGGAAAAAGAGATTATTGGAAGACAAAGAAGAATTTGAATTATGGGAGAAAAAACGACGTCAATATTTAGATCTTGTTGGATTAAGTAAAAATGCAGTCTTGAAAGGTATATACTTTAAATTTCAGTATCGCATCATCCTTATTATTCTTATTTTATTAAACATTGGAAGCTTTTTAAAAAAAATTCTTTTACAACTTAAAAGAATAATTAGTTACTTTTTACTTGATGCCACATCATTGTCATTAGCAATTATTAACAACTAGTTTACCTGTATCATCACATTTAAGTAATTTTGAAATTGCTTTGGTTACATTTTCTGCATGAGTAATCTAAGATTTTTATCTGTAAATTAACTGTATTGTTGCATCTATGAAAGAATTTGGCTTTTTAAACCACTGAAAGTGCAAATATAAAAAACAAAAATAAAGAGAACAAAATAAAAATCAATGTATTAACAGCCTGATTTCTGTTATTTATTAATTAAATATTCTGTTGTTATGAAAGCATACGAGGGTACTTCAAAAAATCTGCGGGAAAAGTCCATAACTAAAAATCACATGGAAGGATTCTGATTTCAGTGCACCTGAACATTCTTGTACCAACGTGTTATAACATGTTCAAACATGAACCCTTTATTGCAGATAATAATGCATTGCCACCAGTTGGAAGTCAGGCACCATTCAAGCAACATGGAATCCACCAAAACTGAGGCCAGGACAAACATTAAATTCTTGGTGAAACTTGGTTGGGAGAATAGACAAATCATGTGTGCTCTGGAACAAGATTATGGTGACAATGCGCCAAAGAAATCAACAACCTACAAATGGATAAGTTGGTTCAGGCCACTGTCTTCTGGGATGCAGAGGGGATTTTGCTGGTTGACTTCCTTGAGACCAAGAAAACAATTACATCTGCTTATTATGAATGCGTTTTCAGAAAACTGTCCAAAAAATCTCAGAAAAACACTCTGGAAAGCTGCAAGAACACGTCCTCTTCCACCACAACAATGTACCAGCTCAAGGCGCTCAGCAGACAAAAGCTGTGCTACATGAATTTTGATGGGAAATTGTCTAACATTCACCTTACAGCCTCGATTTAACCCCATTCAACTTCTTTTTGTTTCCAAACTTAAAAAAATCATTGAAAGGTACCAATTTTACATTGGATGTAAAAAGAGCTGCTCTGATATGGTTCAGATCACATGACCCACAGTTTTACTCGGACATACTTAAAGGCTGGTATCAACATTTGCAAAAGTGTATTGACCTTAATGGAGCATATGTTGAAAAATAAACATCGTAACGGAAACCGTTTTTCATATTGTTCTTTGTCCACAAACTTTTTGAAGCTCCCTCATAAAGCATGTTTGCTTATGTGCATTAACTAATGCTTCCTATGACCATAATAATTTCAGAATATCTTGGGATAAAGAAGAAAGAGTTCAGACTGACCAATAAATATATAAAGTTGCATTGTGTTTTTTATTTCTGTTGCTTTTTATTAGTATGCAATGTCAGTCAGTAAAGAAATGACCTCAAGACTCAATAGCATCTCTTCTTTGGGGGTGGGCAACAGAAATAAACATAAATACTAGTCAAAAATTAATAATTAGTGATGCTTCCACTAAAAAATTCAAAATAATATTATAATTGACAATTTAAAATTTTCAAATTGTTTTAAAAAAATTTTTACCTGATGTTATTTTATTGTAGAAGAGATTTATTTGCAAAAATAATAATATTGATAACATAACAAATCTGTTTTTATTCTTCAGGTTGCTATTAGATAATTTTCTTTTTAGTCCTCACTAATTTAGTTCATAAAATTTTTGCTGCTTCAAGAACCAAATGATTCTATTATTCAGGAACATGTTTCCAGGTTATTATTTCTCTCTAAAATAATTATGAAACCAATTATTTATACCAAGTTTTGTTCAGACAATTTAACTCCATTGTGTTGTTGCTGTTATTACCAACAGTAGAAAAGCTAAACAAATATTGCATTTGTAACATTTCATGCAAATATAGAAAAGAACATAAGAAAAAGCAGCCATCTACTTATAGTCAAACTCAAAGAATAAAAGAATAGTCTCTCAAAGTGGAGGTAGAAAAATCTAGTCTGACACACAAGCTTAATGATAAAATAAAAAACAATACTCAATATAACACTCAACAGAAGGCATCTTGGGGTGTATCTATCCTAATCAAAAATGACATACCCCAAAATAAAATACTTCTAGAAACCAATCTACAAGCAGTTGCTGCAAAAACTACCCTACATAGAACCATTAACATCTGCTCTATTTATGTCCCACTGCATGATCCCATAAAAGTAACTGATCTAAATAAACTAATAGAACAGCTACCAAAACCATTCATATTATTAGGTGACTTTAACAATGTTATATGGAGATCCAAAAAAAAATCTTACTTTCATCCCCCACTTAAAACATATAAAAGAGAAATGCTTCAAATCATTACAATTACTACGGGTTGTGGCAAACACTGACTGGGGAGCAGATTACATATCACTCCTAAAATTACATGGAACTCTAATAAGAACTAAATTGGACTACGGACGATTCATATATGGGTTGACCTGGAAATCCTATCTAAAAACTCTTGACCCTATGCATCATGCAGGATTAAAACTGGCTCTGGGTGCCTTCAGAAAATCACCCATAGAATGTTTATATGCTGAAGCACATGAGGCACTGTTAAAATTGAGATGAGAAAAACTGGCATTACAATATTATCTAAAACACAAATCCTGCTCAACTAACTCAGCCTGCCACTGTACCTTCAACCCTAAATACAAAAATCTATTTGATAAAAAAGAAAATGCTATCAAACCTTTTGGCCTTTGCATGAAAAATCTCATCAGTGAAACACAAATAAATCCAACCCTAATTCCTAAAACCACCACCTCAAAAACCCACCCTGGTTAATGAAATACCCTATGATTCTGCTAAATGTTACTAAATACCCTAAAATTAATTCTAACTTATCTGATTACATTGAAGAAATCTATAATGTTCTACAAGCTCACCCAAATCATAAGCATACATACATTGATGGTTCTAAATCTTGAACAGAGTTGGATGCTCTGCTATCCTTAACAACATAACAATGCAGAAAAGATTGCCTGACAAAACCTCAATCTTCAGTGCAGAAGCCTCATCTGGCTTTAGATATTATAGAATCCAGTGAATCAAATAGATTCATCATCATCTCAGATTCACTGTCTGTACTCACAGCTCTGAAGAATAAAAATCTGGGAAACCCCTTAAAAAATAAATTATTAAAGAGGATTGACTCTATAAGGAAAAAGATGCTGCAATAGTCCTATGCTGGAAACCAAACCATATTGGCCTACAAGGAAATAGAAAAGCTGACAAAATGGCAAAGGAATCATTGAACATGACCCTCTTAAATGTAAAGGTGCCACACATCAACTTCTGACCCACCATAAACAAAACCATTAAAGAAAAATGGCAGCAATTATGGTACAATTGTGTAAACAATAATCCAACCAATCATCAGTGAAAGACAGTCAAGTTACAGAAGAAGAAGAGAGGAAGTGGTTCTAGCCAGATTCTGTATAAGACACACATACATAACCCACCAACATCTACTAAAAAATGAGGAACCATCAATTTGTCTCCCATGCCAGGAATCATATACCTTTAAACACATTCTACTAAACTACTGTAACTTCCAACAAATCCGAAACAAACTCCACAAATCGGATAACTTAAAGGATCTATTTGAAAATACTGATTCAAGTAACATCATTTTATTAAAGAAATTGGGACTCTACTGGAAAATATAAAAAAAAACTGTTTACCAAATCTGCTTACCTACATTGTTTCATAACCAATTTTTGAAGGAAAAATTATTACCAGTAATATATTTGACTCTTGACAAAACCCGACTTTACAAAATATGTCAATGAAACCTGATCTACAAAATGATTCCTCACAAAGAATACATACTCTATTTATATGAACCTATCTGAAAATTCTTGTCGGCATTAAATAACCTTTTGAGGTTGATCTACCATTAAACTAAATAAACCAAATCAAACCATCACTGTTTTACTGTTGAACTAGCTAAATGTAATTGTCTGTTTATTCTAATCTTTTCTTGCCTGTGGAACTCCCTTTCAATTTCTTGTTTCTCTGCCAACTACAATATACAAAAATTAAAATTCAGTGTTAATAGCCATATGTCTTCTTGATTTCTGTTTTTTTATTGTCCTTTATCCTCATTAAAGTCTTCTCATTCTCTTTCACTCCCAGTAACCCCTTGCAACTTAGTGGTATTATCACCTTGCTTGGGATGAAATGATTAAAGAAAATAAAATTAATGATTTTTTCAAAGTTATGCACTGTTTAATTAGTTTTTTTATAATTTCAATAATATATAACATTTTAATAAAGTTTGTAATTAAACCTTGAATTTTTTTTAAAGATTTAAAAACTATTTAAAAGTCCCTAAATGTATTATGATTGCACTTATTTCCTTTATTATACCACCCCTAACAACCCCAAAGACCCCAGTACTGGCTAAATGTGTGGGCTTCTCCATCACAAAGAATTGTCCACCCAAATCAAATTCACATGAATGGCTTTCTCAAACTCTCTTTGACAACTCTTCAGGATTAGGTTGGGCCTTTACAGCCATCTCTGCCACTGCCACCATAAGGGGAGAATGGAGATTTTTTTGTAATGGAAACTTAAAATTTTAAAACTGTAAGTGAAACTATCACTAATAGTTTTTAGCTGAAAATTTTCCAGCAGAATCAAATTTTCTTTATTCTGGACTCTTAAAATATAATTTTCAAGATAAAGTTCATACAGTCAATACACCCACATACAAGGTATAATATTTCTGCCTATTTTATGACCATACAAAATAAACAGCAATGCTTATTTACTGTAATAAAAAAACTATATCATATTTAAAGAATTCTTTTAGTATTCAGCCATTTTACATTTTAATGATTAAAAATAATCTATTTGAATATTTTTTTTTTAATTTTTGTTCTTGATAGCATTTTCTTTTAATATTTTTCTGCTCATCCAGGTTTTGTTGGTCAGACACAATTTTCAGAAAATGAAACATCTTTTGAAGGGCATCTTGATGTTTCCTATGCCTTCGATCCTGCAAATTCTGTAATAGAAAAAGCAACAAAGAAAACCAAGGTCTTGAAACGTAAACAGTTACTAAAAATGGCTCCTAATCTGGCAAATTGTCACTGGTTTTATGATACTCCAGGTATTATGAATCCTGAACAGGTAAATAACATATATTGCAAGTTTGAATATTGACTTATACACACAGAATTATAGTTATAGAATTATAAAGTTATGTTCATTACAGCTTTTTCTTAACATGTGTTTATATTAAGGAAAAACAACTGTTATAGATATTAATTCTAAAATATTTTTTTCATAAGAGATACATAAATAAATGTAAAGATCTAAATTATTCTAGTTACTCAAAATCTTGCATCATTCATGTTCACTTTCAATATGGAAGATGACATAAGCCATAAAACAATAGAAAATAAATATTATTTTTACAAACTTAGTTAAATATCTTAACAGTTACTATATGTATATAATGATACTTTGTTTAGTCAGTTTTTAATGATATTTTTTCAAGGAGCCATTATTAGAATTAAGCTTTTAAAACTTTCTTTTCCTAAAAAATAACTTTTTTCATCCATTGTCAGTGTAATGTAAAACAATGTTTTATTGCAATCATCATAAAAATGTAATATGTGTAATATTAACTATGCCTTGAACTAATGTATTCACAACCTGGGGAGTAGGTACAAAGTCTCGGGACTGCTACTTTTGTCTTTTCTAACAACAGACTAACAGACCCTATCTTCCCTTTGACTGAAGGAATGCTGACTGCTTATAATTCTATTCTCTCCTACCACCCCTTTACTCATCTCTACATTACAACAAATGGTTTCTGACTATATAAGCCAATGATCAGATTTCCTTAAGTTCCAGCTATGTGTCACTTGGTCACTTGGTCCTGAATGATTTAATTTATTTATTTCCTTTTTCTCTGCTTGTGAACAGTAGGTTGTTGCTTTGAAATCCTCACATCTAAACTTTACTGTTAGTTATAAAACAAACTCAAAAAAATAATTTATCCATCCTAGACAATCTAGCAAGAACCCATTGTGTCACAATAGCTGTAAATAAACTTTGTTTAAATTTAAGCAATGGTATGAAGAAAAACCAATAATTCTCACTGTAAAGAAAAAAACAGACCAGATAACCCTAAACAAGTATAATACAAAGGAAAATTTGTAATTATCTTTTATTGTATAAAATTATGCACAACTTAAAATTTACTTTGTTCTTTGAATTTTTTTTTTTTTTTTTTTTTTTTTTCAGATTATAAATTTTTTAGAGCCAAAAGAATTGCAGATTCTTACACCTAATGAAATGTTACGGCCTCGAACAGTCAAACTAAAATCAACTCAAGTCATGTACATCACTGGACTTGCTTGTATTGAATATGTAAAGGTAAATGCAAGTACACATCTATGTATACACTCACATAAGTAAAACTACATCAAAACTTATGTTTTGATTTAGTCTCATTTCTATTGTAACTGGGCTGAAATTTTGGTCTTGGGAATTTTTACTTACAGTTGGAATTTTCAAGATCATTCTTCTCCTATTAGCTAAAAAGTCTTTTCAGGATGTTTTTTATTGTTCTAATTAATTTCAAACTCTTTATCACCCCTTTTAGTCATGGTTCTACTATCTATTCACACAAATTTGTTAAATAAATTCACTGTTTTCCCATTGCTTCTCTTACCTTCAGTATATCTTGTGAGTTTTAAATTCTCTTGGCCTTCTTTCCTCATATGATTCAGAAATTTTAGCTGTCTCTTTTTGATTAAAGTTTTTTGTTACTTTTGTTTTCCTTATCATTTTCTCATTACTCACATGTTTTATCCATGGTATTTTTAGCAATTGTTTTTATTGCTTTAAGTCTCTTCTTCATTTGTCATGAAATTGTTCAGCATTCACTGTTATATAGATTATATATTAGATAACAGTTCACTACTCTTTTCTTTGCTTCTAATGACATTTTTCTATCTACTATATAATTTTATTGTGCTTAATTTTTGGAAGACCTCTTTTGCTATTCTTAGGTGCCTTCAGATTTGTCATATTTTGTTTCTACATTATCCAGATAGTTAAATTTCTGCTTGATTTGGATGTCTTTAATAAGTATTTAACATCTTGGACTATCACCTTTACTGACAACCATGCATTCTGTCTTTTTACAGTTAATAGTTGTTTTTTTTCTTGTTTTCTATTACTAAGTTGTCTAAGAGTTCTTTCAATTTTCATTCTGGGTGATTATTAAAGTTTTTACATTTACCTTTTCTTATAAAAATAATTTTCAGGGTTAATGTGAATTAAGTATTTTTAAAGTTTTAAATATTCCATTTATTAGAAGAAGCTTAAATTTATATCTCAAAACAAGTAAAATTGTGATTGGTTAATACTAGTATAACTCAAAACCTTTTTTATTTTTACACTGATGAAATCCTACATAAAAATATAAATGTATATATATACATCTGTAAATGCATTTATTTTATATTCAGTCTTGTTGAAGATTTTTTTTTAACTTCATTTTTGTTATATTTATTCTAAGTGTTTATATTGTTTAATTTTCATAAACTAGGGGGACATGCATGTGCTGGTCACAGTTATTACCAATCTGGATAACCCTATTCATGTTCTGGAAGCCACTGAATCTCAAAGTTTTTTCAAAGAGAATATTGGAACAGATGTCCTTAAGGTAAGCAAAGTTATAAATGAGAGATTTAGCAAATTTCAAGCTATATAATATCAACTTCAAAATATTTCTTTCAATATATCAGAAACAAATATTCTTAATGTAGAAACTTCACTGAAACTTTATATTTGCAGGTTCCTTTAGGGGGTAAAGATCGACTGGATAAACTACCACCTTTAGTTAGTAAAGAATTTAATTTGCTTGGCACTGGATTTAAATATACTATTTGTGACATAGTATTATCTTCTGTTGGTAAGTAATTATATATTTCTTAGATTTGTTATTGATTTTCTAATTTTCATGCAAAATGACTTTCATTCTCATATAAATGTTAATTTTACCCCTATATTTTTCTATTAAATGGACATTATGAGAAAATGAGTCTTTCTAAATAATAGGAATGGGAGAGAGAGTACTGACAGTAAAGAATCACAGGATAAATGTGATGACTGAACATTTTAGCTTTCCTTTTTAAATGAAGGTTCCTTTGAGGCTAAAGACTCCGTATGAAGATGTTCCTGAATCGGGAATTAATTATGTTACATGCATGGTTTTGTTACTCTAAATTAGGTACCTCCACTAAAATCATGATATAAATTAAAATAAATTTATTTTCTTGAAGCTTTCATTTTAGCTTTAATTGAAAGCTAAAGGATTAAATTTACTATTTCCAGTAAGCAAAATACTCTGGTGTATTTCAAACAGAAATTATATTGATTGGAATCAATGTTTTTAAAAAAATTTTTCCTAAAATAACTGAGTAGCACCCCTTTTTTAGTTGTCTTTCATTGCACTATAATTCTCTGTATTAAAAACTCTTCCAAAAATAAAATGTAATTTTCTGAAACTTTATTTGAGGAATATTAACTGATTTAAAGTATAATTTAATTTGAAACAAATATTATTTAAGTTGGAAATAACCGAGAAATGGCTTTTTAAAACAAACAGTAGCAGTGATTTACACACTTTTCATTGCACGTCAATCACTTAACAAGCACTGATGATGTGTTGAAAGGTTTATTGTTGTTCTATGGTGACTTTATCTGTTGAAACATAATTGAAGTAAATGATGGGTGAATGCTTTTTTATATAATTTTTAAGTACTCAGTAAGCATAAGAATGTAGGAAATATTAGGAATGTCCACTTTAAATTTACTAGAGTCATCGATCATCGTTTCTGATAATTTCAAAGTGGGCACATTTATACACAAAAAAAAATTTTAATTATTTTTAAAATCTTAGTGCATGATGATTTCTATTAAGCTTTTTTATTTTCACTTAGTAAATATAATCTTTACTTAATAATTTAATAATCTAACGAGGTCAACGTTTTGAAGAATTTTAAAAATATTTTTGAAACTTTATAAATTATTATAATTAAAATGATTCTTGTAAAAGTTCATTATTCATTAAAAAACTTTTTTCTTCAAAGTATAATGTCATTAATATATATTATTTATGAAATTAATTAAGCTTATCTAATTAAGTAATTAGTGTTATTGCAATTTTTATTGCTAGTTCTGTTACACAAGTTGATGCATTAAAAAAAAGATTTTTAATCAAAATTTCTAACTTGTTAGAAAGGATTAAAAAATAATTAAAAAATACTTTGGTTTTTCCTCTTAATAATAACATAAACATTTTGACGATAAAACTTTGTTTTTATTAAGTTTGTTGCCTTTTTTCATCATGCTGTTTTTTTTAGTGAAAAAAAAGAGGTACCTACTGTAAATGGTCATAGATGGAGCAGCACACTCAACCACAACCTGATTTGTTGTAGTTAATTTTGCATTCTGGTTTGCTTAGTGACCTCTATTTTGTTATTGTCCATTTCATACAAAGAGACACTCTTAGCAGTATATATCTTGAACACTCTTGATGGCATGAGGAGGCAAGGGGAATTTGGAAATCGCTGTTAATGGATGTACTTTTTCAGAGAATAATGGTATTCAGTGTGTATAATGTGCAAACATCCTTGCCACTCAGCAAAGAAAAACAAAATCATTACTCATCATCTACTCAGCAGCCCTCAGAAACAATTGACAAATTTTTTTGGAAACTAATCAAACTTAGTGAAGATTGCACCTTCACAGCTGTTACAGATGAACAATACTGTACAGAGCTAATAAGGGATGCATTAAAAGTTTAGCTAGGATGCAAAATATAATTATTTTATTTAATATGTATGTATGTGTTTGAGATAATTTCTGTTTCATGTAATACTAAATATTGAAAAGTTTATGTCTTTTGTTAAACAGGTTGGATTGGAGTTAGTGCAAAGGCAGGTAGTGAGATTGTTGTCCGAGCTTATACACCTGGTGGATATGGATGCCATTTGAGACCTCCCTTGTTACCTGAAGCTGTCAACCTTAAAAAAAGATCTATTAAAAATTCACCATTCTATCTAATGAAAAAGCCAATGTCTATGGTAAAACCTTCATTCAAATAAAATACCTAAGAATTCTTCTGAGGCAGTAAAAATATATTTATACTGGTTTGAAATTTAATGTATATCTTTTATAATATTTGTTCTATTTTATTTGTGAATGTGTGTGTACTGTAATGCTTATCCGTGTGGAAAGTGACATTGACATTCCAAGTTCAGATTCAAGCCTCACTTGTTGTGTTCACTTTGCACTAATGCCCTTGGGAAAAGTATGATTCCATCTCGTCTCCCATCAGCTGTGGATTAAATAGCAAAATAGACTGGACTCTCTAGCCTTGGGTAGCAGCTAGTCTAGGAGAGGGACATCTCAAAACCATGGAGAAAACTATGGAAACCACTCTTTCCCATGAAGTCATTACAAGTCACTGATAATAAAGAAAAGGAAGTTATAGAGAGCCATAATCACCTGTCCTGAAGGAACATAGCATTAAAAACACAAAAACTCATTTTATTATTGGTAGTTATTTTAAAATAGCACTATAATAATTTGGTTGTATTTTATATGAACATAGAGCAAATGCATAAATATTTTAAAATATGACTTTAAAAATTTTACTGAAAAATAGTCATAAAAATAATTTCTTTATCAGTACAGTTTTGATTTTCTGGTATTTGTATGATATATTGAAAATTAGGAATCTTTGCTCATTTAAAATATAATCTGTATGCCTAAAGATATTAACAATGTATTTAAGTTTTCGATCTGAGAATGGTGAAACTGGTTGAAATATCCTTGGAAATGAATAGTGGGTTGAGTTGTTAGAAAAATAAAGAAGGAAGTTTTAAAACCGTCAACAAACTCTTGCTTGTAAAAACAATAAGAATGAGTTTGTCAGTGGTTACAGTGATCAGTTTAACCTTTCCCAATTATGCAATGCCTGCTTAACTATGTCTTGTTCATGAATCAGTAGGTTTCAGTCTTATTCACAATATAGCACAAAAACTATGGCAATGATGTATAACACCTGGGGTCAGTCACTGGTCACTAAATATGATACAAGAGTGGCTGTTCTCCACTCACTGTATGTCTGACATAAATTTTAGCTGGTAATATTACATTTCAATGCTGGATATATGAATTGGGCACAGCTATTTCTGTCGTTTGTCTCCCTCGCTGGACCAATATCCTCTAGTGGAAATCTTTTATATTGTGTACCTATTCATTCAGAGAGGCCTTGAATTTTTGTTCTGTGGTTCAGGCAATTTTTTGATCTTAGCAATCTCATGGCATGCTGTTTCAATGTTTGGCAACAGAATGAATCTGAACAGATCTGGTGATTCATGCGCACTTTATAATTGCCACAAATTCTTAAATCTCCATTAGGTTTGCATATCACCACAATGGGTGAAGCCCAATTGCTACCAACCTGGCTGATTATTTTTCTAATATTCTTTGTTGCACCTTTTTGTTCAGCTTAGCAACCACCAATGGTAGCATGTGAACAGAAACTTTTGTGGCTTGAAAATACATGGGTTGACTGCTTTCTTTAAGCTGAACATTCGGCTTGTATTCCCCTTAATAATCCAATATCTGGTTCTACAGATGTCATGAAATTTATCAGCTCTGATGTATCCATTCTTAACAAATCAATTCCTAAAAGACTGTGGCTTTTGATGTTTTCCACCACTATGATAAGTATTATTTCCAATCTATTTTTTTTTTTCAAACATGCCTTCAAAGCATAATCCTACAGTTTTGATGATTGACCCATCAAACTGTTTCAACTAGATATTATTTTAACTTTGGTCTACCCATTCTTTTCCCAAAATTCCTCAGTATCAATATAATATCATTTCCAGTATCTAGCTGCGTGAGTAAAGCTACTCCATTCAATTTCAACTTTTAGTAGAATTGTAAGTCTCAATGCTGCCTTTAGAGGCATTAAATTTTTTAATCAATTTCAATTGTTGTAAGAACTTCATACATGCTTCCAGATTCATATTATGAACTTGAAGCCACTGTAGGATTTTATACTTGTATAAGATGTCAATCACTCTTAGCACAATTAGTTGGTCTTTGATAGACATTTGTTCCAAGCCCATTTTTTCAAACCCACAATATCTCGATTCTTCGTTGTACATATTGCATAATAGTTTTGTCTGGTGTCTGTCTACTTTTGAGAAATTTAGTTCTTTCTGCTACAATCAATCTTTTTTTTGGTCTTACATTTGCTTTTATGACTGTAGCAATTTCTCCATATGCTAATCTTCCAACACTTTGGGATAGACTATGACAAAGATTTTTTTAAGACCTCACACCCCACTGAGGCCAAAAAACAAATTTCCAACTTAATTTTCTAAGTAAGCGATTGGTGATGCCATATTGTTATGATAGGTATTCTCTCTGACAGATTATTGTTAAAAATACAATAATTGTAGCACAAGGCCAAAAGAGGAAAATGGTGTGAGGCTTGTCAACATTAATTATCCTATATCTAGCTAATCAGATTCACAACCCATCCATACATTACAATTTACTCATTCACCACAAGAAGTCATCCTTCACCATTCACTCCTACATACAAAAACACCCCATGACATAAAAATCTGATATATACAAATGTCCATTGAAAAAAATATATATAAAAGTATAGTGATGGTATTAAATTAGGGGGAAGGGATGAATCCTAAAAACAAACTAAAATATAACAAAACACACAAATGTTAGTAGGACCTGTCCACACCCCAAAAATAAGAGTGGTTGCTGTATTCTGTCTTCAGACAGAATCAAGTAGCTGACTTGCTAATGGAGAGGGAAGGATAAAATAAATAATGGCATGGGAAAATCAAAGATTGACCCAGTTGAGATGAAAAAGGAGGCCAAAAAGAACTGGGGGGGAATCTTGACCTGCATCATAACAAGAGAGGAAGCCGGGAACAACACTCATATTAACTAGGTACACAAAGTCTATCTTAAAAATGGTTCCACAGGAAACTGCCAATTGTGACCAACAGTACATAAAAGCAGAAATGAACCAAGCTTGCTACTTTCACCCATCTTTCACAGAAATCTATTGATAAACACTTTCTGTCAATTCTGACCTTTATCTTGAGCTGATGCTCAAAGAATCTGATCAAATCCTTATGAGAATCTATCTCTGGGGAATCCCCATTAGCCTCTGCTCAGGACAGACTATCCTTGAGAGCCTTTTCCTTTTTAGCCTTATCTAGAATGAGCTGTTGGCTATATTCAGTGGTGAAGGACCTAATACTATCCTTAAGCCTTCCCACCATTAGTTCCTGTTGCACTAATCTAATTAGCTGTTGCCTGAAGTCTTGTCTATCCAAAAAAGATAGATTGAACTTCCAGTATCCAGCCATTCTAGGCCTTGCACCTAATGCCATCTGTTAGGCTATTCGGACTAAGTCTATGATCCCAATACCCTAGCCAGTAGAACATGGGACAATATAACATCTCTATATCGGCTCTTTTTGCTAACATTCTATCCAGGTAGCTGGCCACTTAAGTTACAACATTCACATCTTCTGCCCAGAGCGATTGACCTGATATCTATCAATGAGACCACTGGCAGCCTTACTCCTTGCATTCAAGCTGGCTATTTTGAGAGATATTTTTCAAATTGGATCTCAGACTGGGTGGAAATCTGTGGGGTTAGGACCCTGACATATTGAACCTAGGCTCCCTGTGTCCATCTCTGATGTCATCTGTCCATTTAGGACAATGTTGCCAGCGTCCAACTTAAGAACTCTATAACAAGAGGGATGGAGAATCACTGAGACCCTTCCTGCACAAAATTTGGATAACTTTTTTAATTCTGGGGGTTCCCACCTGGGCCATTTGCATTTGGGGGAAAGTGTCTTTTGTCTCATACTTGTGATTCCATACTCTTAAATCTCTCCCCATATCGCTTATCCATGATATCACACATGGTACCTTAGGGAAATTATAGGGATCCTCTGTCAACTTCCCATCAATGGAGGTTACTTTGAATAATGAACCCAAAACGGCCTTTTTCTGAGTAGAAGGTCTCTCTCCAGGTTCTGCCTGTCTATTTGGCAGATTTTTTTCCCTTCTGGGAAAATGTCATTTTTTCTTTTTCTCTTTGAATGGGTTGTAAGAGGTGGAAGCGGAGCCCTAGTAAGTGAAGTAGGGGAGCTCCTTGACTTTGGGGTGGTATCTTCAATTTTTGCTGGTGAAGTGGGGACAGATTGGGACTTGGCTTTGTTCATGCCCTTCTCTGCCCTACTTTGTCCAGCCTGCTTCTCCCTTTTGGTAATTTTCCCTCCTTTTCTTTGTCTTCTTCCTCTCCCCACCTTTTCAAAGAGGAGGACTGAGGTGGAGGCATTTCTTTTGCCTCCATATCTGAATCTGGCCATTGCTTCTTTTGCTGTTGTTGTTGCTTTTCTTGTTGCTTTTGTTGTTTCTTTTGTTTCTGTTGTTTTTGTTCTTGTTGATGCAGCAGTTCCTGTTGATACTGCTCTTTGTGTTGCTGTTCATCTTGATGTTGTGGTTGTTGCTGTTTTTCCTACTTTTGTCGCTCCTGGTTTGGTTTTGGGCATCCTGCTGGGAAGAAGGGCTTGCCGTCTTCTTCCCCCCTCCTCACCACCTCCTTCCAAACACTGAGGCTTGCCAGACTCTTCCACCAATTCCACTGTTGCTGTTGTTGGGCAAGGTTGTGGGACTGTGTTCTTACCAGGCATGCTATGTGCCCTAAGGCATCACACAACCAGCATTAGGGTTGACGGCCTTCTAAAACCAGACATTTTTTCTCAGCATATCAGAATGTTGGGGGATTTTTTAAAAACTCTTGCGGGTCATTGTTATCTGGTGAACAAAATCCCCAGTAGCAATGCCCCCTTTACTTATTATTGCTGAGGCATCCTCTACTTGTCCGTATCGGGCAAAATAGGCCCCCATCCAGTCCTTGGTAATATCCAGTCACCCCATGTACAATCACCCTTGCCTTTCGGATGCCCATATATTTGGTCTGGAAACAAACTTTATTGCTGTTAATATATTTCCAGTTCTCTTGCTCTGTATACAGAAGGATGTCCCACATGGTCTTCGATCCAGTCACTTTCTTCGGCCTAATTTTCAGACTCTTTAGTGTATTCTCCATTGTTTCCCCGCTGACCCCAATTAATTTCCAAGCTTTTACATCGGTGGTCAACAGGGAGATTGTTTTCGTATTCGTGGCGTCCACTGCTTCCGGAATAGTGAGAAACTAATTTCCTCTTCTATATTCTTCATACTTTGCCTGAAGTTGTGCGTAGTAATTAAGTCTTTTTGGGGCTTGTTTTCAGTCCAAGCTGTTTTTTTAGGCAGTGCAGTTTGTTCCACTTGTACCGGATTGATTTTACTGGTCACTTGTGGGTCCGGAGAGGTGAGGATATGCAGAAAATGTATATTCTAATTTTCGCTTGTTTTAATGTCAGAGCTATACATTTGGAGTTGGTTGAGCATATATCTGTCCATTTTGTGGTTCTTGCTTTGGTGCGATTTTTCAACGTACACGGTGTCCCTTCCCATATTTACTCTGATAACGCCCGCTCCTTTGTTTCGGGCTGTGATGTGATCAAAGAAGTGTATGTGTCTGATAAGTTTGTTGGGAAGTTTAGCACATACAACATAAAACATCCTACCATTCCCCTGTATTCAGTCTGGTTTGGTAGTATGTGGGAACGCCTCACCAAGATGGTCAAGGGTTGCCTGTATAAATTGGTGGGTTGAGAGATTCTGCTGTATTTTGACCTGATTACAGTAATTTCAGACATCCAGAATGCCATTGATTCCCATCCTCTCACATACAGATGTTCAGGAGATGCTGGGTTAGGTATTATATCAGCCAATGTGTTTATTCATCCTCATTATTATAGCTCAGTTTTCCTGGAGGGAAACGACGATTTCTCTGGTAAGGAGCCACCTTCTAGAAGTGTTTTGTTGAAGAGTTTAGATCACAGAGATTTATACTTGGAGAGGTTTCATAAGCTGTGGTATGAGGAATATTTGCTAGGGCTGAGAGAGCAGATGCAGAAGTTGTCAGGTTGATTTTTCCAACATCATTAAAGAGGATGATGTGTTAATTCAGAATCCTATAAAAGCTCGACCTTATTGGTCTTTTTCCTGGGAAGGGTCTTGGAAGTTATTCTGGGGGATGATGGCTTGGTCCGTTCAGCTAAGATTAAGAGGATGGATGGAGGTATTCAGGAGCATTCTTTGAGGCATCTTTTTCCGATAGAATTGTCTATCACCCATTCTCATCAGACTGCTCTAACCTCCAGGGAAGTATCCAATTTGGAGGTTGCAGCTTCTCCTGTTGGAGATAATAGTAGAAGTTTGGTTGCCTCTGCTAGACCTCGTGGGAAAGGTAGAAGTGTAAATAGTAGGGTTGACAACTTTTTATGGTATTGATTTAGTGTGTTACATGTACTTAGATTTTTTTTTTTTATTTTATGCAGATCATGCTAAGAAAAGAAATTTTTTTTTTGTCGGGAGAGTTTGAAAATTTTTAGGTCTAGGGAGAACAAAAGACACTCACTGTGTTACTGGCCCTAAGAACCTGCTGATACTTTTTTTAATAGACTGTGATTGGATGGTTCAAAGGTGAGCCAACCCCTTTGAATGGGAAGGGAGAACTGGGACTGGACATTAGCAGCAGTTGGAAACGAGACCGCTTAGAGACAGGAGGTTGTTACTCTCTCCCTGGTGAAAAGGCAGGCAGTATTTGCCTATAAGTAAAGGGTACATGGGTAACAAGTTGCTGAAGGCA